TGGAAATTACGTATGCAAAGTTGCTGAATTTCAAAAATGTGAGAGAAAAGAAAAGAAAATCCCTGGTTGGTGAAGGAACAGGTGAAAAAATATGCCACAGGCAGGAATAGACAAATGGACAAAAGTATATAGACAAATCAATATTGTGCTGTATTTCTTTTTTAACTTGTTTTATTAATACACCAACCTGTATACATAATTCGTTATAGCATAAATACTCACTTATACATAAATAAATTCATTAGACTACCTTCAATAAAAAATTAATTGAAAAAACTGGAACTATGAAGGACAAAAATATATAGACAAAGCAAAACGATTATAGAAAAAAGAAGCAAAGTTCATTGAATTATAGAAAACCAACCATGTTTGTGTTAATATTTTGTAGCATAATCATTATTATCAATCACCGCCTGGCATCGTCTCGGCATAGATTGTAGAAGTTTCTTGATATAAGATTCATCAATCTGTCTCCACTTTTGCTCTAAAGCGGCAAAAAGTTCATCCTTGTTTGAATAATTTTTATCTCGTATTTGCTTATCCAAGTATTCCCATATATTTTCAATGGGGTTTATATCGGGAGACTGTGAAGGCCATTTGAGAACTGGTATTTTTTCATCCAGAAAGAATGTATTTGCGAGATTTGAAGTGTGCTTCGGGTCATTATCTTGCTGGAAGATTGATCTTAAGGGCATATTGTCTTCCATATAGGGTAACATGACATGCTCTAGTATGTCTGTGTATACAAACTTATCCATAATGCCATCTATTGTATCTAAAGGTCCCATCCCAAACCCCGAAAAGCACCCTCAAACCATAACAGGCCCGCCTCCATGTTTGACAGTGGGCAAAGTGTACTTGGGGTTCAATCTTTGTCCACTAGGACGTCTAACGTAATGAACAGCATCTGTTCCAAACATATTGAACTTGGATTCGTCACTACTGAAACATACCCTCTTCTAGTCACAGATGCTCCATCAAGATGCAACCGTGCAAATTGTAATCGGTGCTTACGGTTTTTTCTCGAGATTAGCGGCTTACTCGGGCGACGTGCAAATAACTACAAATCATTTAATCTTCTACTTATAGTTTTTGTAGAAACACTGACAATTCCTTTTGTCTCGATTTCGGCTTTTATTTGTCTTGGGGTTTTAAACGGATCTTTGGACGAAATTACTTTGATTAATCTAACTGATCTAGCATTTAGTTTTCTAGGCCGATCACTTATATATTGCCCAAACTGCTTTACGCTTCAGCTTAAAATTTTTGGCAATGTCGACTTGACGTTGACCATCTTTGTATTACTCAATGATCTTAGTTTTCACATCGAAAGAAATTTCTGGACCACGGCGCGGCATGGTCTTATTATTCCACAATCCTTGATGAACACAAACTAATCCTCTTCTGACAAGAAACTGTACTAAACTACTGTATATTCAGATAAGAGATAGACCGGATGTAAACAAAAGGTTCGGGTGATTTTCACGCTATCGCCGCCGTCTCGACGTAAAACAGGAGCCCTCATTGGTCAATTCGCAATTAAATGCCTATGCCGAGCGGCAGAGCAGTCGTATCAAGGCAGAGTCACATTCAGGTTCAGACGTGTTACGTATGTCGTGTGCATCATTGCAATTTGATATTTCTTTGGACGTTTTCGTTTGTTATCTTATTAAGTTGTTGAGTTTGTCGTTGTTATTGTTATACCTTGTTATTGATTGTTATTGTTATCAACTGCTTGCGCAAAATGCCCAGTAGTACAGATACTGCCGATGAAGTTGTAAACTCCTGTAGTCCACCTAGGAAACGCTCTAAAAAAAGACACCTGAGTGCAGAAATGAAAGAGGTCATTTTGAATATATATAAGATCGAGCGCGAGGAGAACGAGGCATCAACCATCAAACAAATTGTTGTGAAGGTTTCTCACAAAGTTGGGGTGTGTCGCGCATCAGTGTTTAATGTGTTAAGACAATACAAAAAAAAGCACACCTTTTCTGAGCCAATGACCAGTAAACATCGCAAAAGTATTGTTAAATCATTGGATGAAGCTGATAAGCATACGATTAGGAGGAAAGTGCATGAATTCTTCTTTAGGAATGAAATACCTACTATAGATAAAGTACTGCAGGAGGTAAATGGAGATACAACGTTGCCAAATTTCAAACGATCAACTTTCCATGCGTTACTGAAGCATTTAAATTTCAAATGGAAAAAACTGGGTCGTAATAGTTTACTACTGGATAGGGAAGAAATTGTGCTATGGAGGAGGAATTATTTAACAAAAATTGGGAAATATAGAAATCAAAACAGGAAGATTTATTACCTTGATGAAACATGGGTAAACGCAGGACACACTACAAGTAAAGTATGGGTTGATGATTCTGTAACTTCATCCAGGAGGGCCTTTCTAGATGGACTGTCCACCGGATTAAAAAATCCAGCAGGTAAATACGAGTAATAGACAACAATCGGATGTTTTTCAAACCTTGGGAACAAGGTTCTAAACATTAATTCTAGGGGGCAGATAAAACATATTACAAGTAACAAAACTTTTATAACTTTCGATAAAATGCGTGGATGTTTTATTGTCATTTTCATTTCTTAGAACTTTTTTAAGCCATGTTTTTATGTGTTTTCGATATTTCAATAATTTTTTAATATAATCTTAAAATATGTCGAATATTATAAACTTAAAAAAAGTTACTAAGTTTTATATTGTGTACCGTTCCTAATATTTCTAATCATTTTAATTCATACTTTAAGCTTTATAAAGTTATAATTTGTTAATATTAATATTTGCGCGTATTTCAGGTTCCTGATCATTCATTTTTTAAAGGTTTATAACTTTAAATTAAATTGTGAAGCGCTGAGTAATCATACGACGTTCAATATTCTTTCTTTCAATATGACTAAATAATCCCAATTATAGCAATCTGTCAATGTCTCAATGTTTTTTCGCTGAATGTGATGAAAACATTTGAAAAAGGTTCGCTTATTGAAATAAATCTACACCAGTTAGTACTTCGATTTCCAGGTAAAGGGAAAAGGCTCATTATCTGCCATATTGGCAGTGAAGATGGATTTGTTGTTGACGGTCTGTGGTGCTTTGAGTCTAAGAAAACTGGAGATTACCACGAGGAAATGAATGGCGAATCGTTTGAACAGTGGTTTTCAAAAATTTTACCGAACTTAGAGGAAAACGCAGTAATTGTGTTGGATAATGCGCCTTATCATTCTCGAAGAATGGAGAAGGTCCCAACAACGGCTTCAAGGAAAGTTGATGTTCAAAATTGACTCCGCTCGAAAAATATTAACTTTGAAGAAGCAATGCTGAAAGTACAATTATTAAGAATTGTCAAGGATCACAAGGCGGAATATCAAAAATACGCCATTGACGAAATGGCAGCAAGTCAAAATAAAACTGTGCTCCGTTTACCTCCATACCATTGCGAGCTCAATCCCGTTGAGCTCATATGGGCAGAGGTTAAAAATTATATAGCTAAGCACAATACAACTTTTAAATTTTGTGACCTCAAAGGACTTTTCAAAGAAGCACTGGAATTAATAACAGCGCAAAAATGGGAAAACTGTATTAAGCACGTGAAAGACAAAGTTGAAAAGAGAATGTGGGAACTGGACAATATTTTAGAGGAACAAGTCGAGCCATTCATTATTGACATTGGTGCTTCAGGCAGTAGCGATGATGAAAGCTCATCAAGCTCATCTTTCCAATAAAAGATGTCGTTCATCAAATTCGGTAAGTTATAAGTAATTATAAAGCTACTGTATTTTTTTATTAATTATTGACATTTTTGAACCCATTTTGGCAAAACCTATTCAAGAATCTACTTTCTGACAATGTTCAACCATGCACATTTTTTTACGTTTTGAACGTTTTAATTTGGTTACATATTTACCTAGAAATCAAAAAATATACTAATCAATATTCTAAAAGCAATTTTAAGAGATATACGATTATTTTTAATTTAGGCTAATTTAAACGCCATTTTGAGATTATATTCGACTGTATTTCACCAAACATCAGGCGGCATCCGAAGCTGGAAATCGAAGCGAAAATTTTGAAACCCTTATGTATATTTACATCATTATATATTTCTTACCCCACCCCCACATGATCCTATATCCGTTACCAATCGTATACACATCGAATTGTGCTAATTTACTACAAAGTTACGCAAAGCAGCATCTACTATCTAAAATACGTACTGCGTGACTCTTAATACGTCCCTGCCGAATGTTACAGCATTCGATGATCACGTGGTCTTGTTTATGTCCGGTCTATCTCTTATCTGAATATACTGTAATGTTGAAAAGAATTTGTCTACATATTTTTGTCCCTCATAAAAAAGTGCTTATATTCAGACTTGTATTGTGTTCATTGCAGATAATGTAAAAACAAGGAATTTAGTTTTTCTACTAATAACGCATTTGTTTATGGAGCAATGAAGTATGAATTCGTTTTCTAAAGGTATTTAGGTAAATATTCATATTTGTCCATATACTTTTGTCCATTACTGTATATGAGTCATTTAAATCTTATAGGAATCTGTTTTGCGATATCAATAGAAAATACAAATCAGTGATTAGATATGTGTGATGCGTCATTCCTAATTTTGAGGTGGTTTAATTAAATACAACGCGGGCGCGGTGGCGATTTCCAGTAATGCTCCTCAAAGTTTTGAAAACACAAAAAGACGGGGAAAATCGTAGTTTATAACTTTGTACAACATAACCTGTACCTGTACAGCTAATAGACATACTTCATTGGCAGCATATTCAGTAATAATTTTCTCACATAGCAAATATCACCGATTTTATACACATAATTATCCAGATGCGATCTTGCTACTCAACCAACTTCCTATCTTTCACATATTCTCAGAGATAAACAATACAGACTAGTCGGCTTCAAAAAACATATACTTGCTTAAAAAGTAACAAGTCTGCAAGATGACGTTGTTTTTTTTTTTGACGTTTCATACGTTTTTTACATAATAGCCGTGAGGTTGATCCAGAACAGACACAAGATATTCGTAGATACCTAACATTTTACCATTTTTGACAACTGCAGTTTTGTGCCTGAAAAATATTGAAATGAAAGCAGAAAAGGTTGAAGTTACGTTACAGCATAGGAGTCTCGTTGAACTTATTGTATTTGTAACGATTATAATATGCCAAGCATCTGAAGGCAAGTAATTTTATTTCGAATTATACATACAGGTAGTTGAAAAGTTTTCGATTTCCCGATTCATAGTTCTTTTATTGATTTTCTGAACGAACTCTTCCAATAAATCACTCTGAAAAAGTTTTTTCTACATGTTCCGGAGCAAACATTCCTAGATGAAATTACCGAAAAGTACTACAGACTACAAAAATCAATTGATGGATACGTTGGAGAGTAGTGGAGATAGTGTGTTAAGTAGTTCGAGAGAACTATAAGAAAGTCTTGAAAGAGAAAGAAATCGATCCTACGCGGGTTGTCACTAAAACAAGGTACCCACATTTTTTCCAGGCACAAGGAATTTTTTATTTGAAATTAGGAATTGGCAATTGTAAACGTTGATCTTTAAGCTATTCTCTACTACTTTTGTATCTATAAAAGTTGTGAATTTCCTCAAAATTGCACAAAACAGGTAGTTGCCCGCTTTTATGGCCAAGATTGCATTCCTTTCAATATCAGCAAGCCACTTGAAAATTTTGAAGAAGAAATCTTGAAAATAAGACTAAAATGTTGCGTTCGTCCCTTTTTTTGTACTCCCACCACGACGAAGGCCTAAGGCGTAAACACCCATGGGGTTCCGTGGGGCTATAGGGGGATACAGGGGAAAAACATGCACACATCCGTAGGTAAGAGAAAAATTTCTCTTTGGACGGGATTCGAACCCGCACAGCGCACGGCGACTGATGGATTCGTCATTACTGTATATGTAGAATTTCTTTTGTTTATGATGTTTATTCATGACGAAATAAATATTTTGAATATGAATTTGAATTTGATCAGGAGACCGAAGAGTCTACTACTACGGCCACCGCTGCTGCCTAATTTTTTTACATTGACAAACTTACCACCGCATTGATTTTTTTGATGCGGAAACCAATGTCTTCACGATTTAAAGTTCTATATACGACGCCACTGCTGTCTAGATTTTCTACTGTGTCCACCTCGAAGGGCTCGATCGGGACAGAAACATCCGGGAGAACGACACTCGCCGTAAAGTAACATCAAATCGATCACTGTCTTCCAAATCCTATTTGTGATATAATACTGCACAATGCGCGGCGGATTTATTTTGAAATAATCGTGGCAATCTAAATTATAGCGGATCTTATGTATGATAGCAAAGCGACATCGAAGTTAATTTCAAGGATCGAAACTTGCTTAGACTCAGGCCCTAGGTGGTGATGTGTAACCTCGTGACAACTGCATTTCAGTAATTCTACACAGCTGCGATATATGGACAAAAGTTTACCCGTAATATTCCTATTGACAATCTCATCAACAGCTATGGTTATAACAGCCACCTCGGGCTCAGTTACTCCATAAATTATTCATAATTTGCTTAGAAACTTCTTGAGAATATAACGTAACCCGTTCCCTGCGTTTTCGTTTATTCATCTTTAATAATCATACATCCTCTGCGGTCCTGATATAAAACACAATAGAGTTGACATAACAGTATTATTAAGTTTTACGATTTTTCTAATATAATCAATGAGAACATAATCAAAGGGGCTTTTACACTAAGCATTCTGATTGGTATCATGGGCTTTCAAAAGGTTATCAACGTCTTTGGTGGTCCCTGTATGGCAGATGTATCATTATCTGCCATACTCTGACAGTCTTTGAGGAGATACCGGAACATTGCAACGAGCTATAAGCAGTAGAAAGTAATTAAAATAAATTTTCATTCTGACTTTAACAGGCGAAATATAATATGGAGATCTACGTCTACAAGTACTTCCTAGTCTATTTCTTACACAGAAGCAGCTCTTACGTGTAATAAATCAGTGAACGTTTCTGTTTATATCATAGGAAAGATATTACCGTTTTTATTACTCCAGAAGAAATTAGAGATGCAAACAGAATTGCAACTCTGCACCATGTGTGCACTTTAAGAGCTTTCACGAATTACTATCAGCTATATTTTTAGCAGTATGCTACCAACTTCCTGCATAGACGTCGCCCATATTTTTCAAATTCTACTTAGCTGCTATTCCAACCTCCGACTTTAGTAATACAAAACCAGTATGCAATGAACATGTCGCACTTCACAAAAATGGCCTCCATATTAATCTCGAATTTTCAAAATGTTTGTATAACAACTCTTTATACCCAAGGTCTCGTTACCTGTTGCATATGAAACGTCAAACTAAGGAACTATTCGATCATCTACTACAATCTGGTAGACGGACTTCTTGTAACTTCTTTGACTAATTGGTAACTTACGGTGTTCCACAAGGTACAGTGTTAGGCCCCTTATTATTAACGCTTTACATTAATAGCCTGTTTGGCTTAAAATCTGAAGAGACAATCATATGTCTTGCAGACGATACTGCTATCATCTATTCGGATAACAGCTAGTGGGATGATCTAAAGATAAAGGTAAAAAGAGACTTAATAATACTGCAGACTGGTTTAAATACTCAAATAAATTTAACAGACAAAATAAAATATTCAGCTGTATATTTAGACCCACATTTAAAGTATTGATCATGTAATAACCAATCTGAGACCATTAGTGTTTACTTTCAAGTATCTAAACAAATATTTGAATAAAAAAAAAACAATGAAAATTCCATATCATGCTAATATCGAAAGTCGTAAGAGTTACGCGATATTAGGTTGGGGTGGAGCACTTTATAATAATATTAATAAATTGGAAATTATTCAAAAACAATTTTTGAAAATAAACTCTGACAAGCCACTCCTATACCCATCTGATCTGTTCTATTCTCAAGCAAAACTGTTAGACTCTAGACATTTTTTTTACAAAATCAGTTTCAACATAGAAATTATCTTATTCCGTTACATCACTTATATCAAACAAGAAGCAGAATCAACAACATGACTTTGAAAATTATTGGTAGGTCACCCATTATGTCGTCATGTGAAGTGTGTTGTCTAATGGTAAGGCGTTTTGTAATATATAGTGCAAGAGATTGCGCTTTTGTTGACCGATGAAGTACGAAGAATTTTTCAAAACCTGATAGGGTAGAATATATATATATAACTTGAGACGTGGTCATTGTCGTCTAATAACCAGTTAGGTGGAAAAATAAAGCTTCCGCCTTTAGTTGGGTACTTCGACAAGATTAAAGCGATGAGGACACTTTATATTTTATTAGTCACTAGCTTCTGAAGATGATGGCATAGCCCGTCGAAAGCTAGAGACTAATAAAGTATAAAGAGTCCTCATCGCTTTAATCTTGTCGAAGTACCCAACGGCGGAAGCTTTATTTTTTATTTATATATATATATATATATATATATATATATAAAGAGAAAACTATCATGCGGAGAAGGGTATATAACAAATATAGGAAAATAATGGGCAAAATCCGCAAAAAGAAAGAAAGTGGATTCGAGCAGAAAATTGGTTAGGTAACCCGAGCGATATGTGTTTCTGCTGGTTGGCTTCATCAGGCCCGAAATGAATGCACATATGCAACTACAAAAGTAGATACACATGCTCATACATCCGGATACGGGTGTAACCTGAGGGAAAAAAAATGACACACGAAGTCCACAACAAGAGCCAACCTACACATTGTAATAATGCCTTATGAAGCCAATCAGCAGAAATACGTATCGCTCGGGTTACTTATCCTATTTTCTGATCGAATCCACTTTCCTTCTTTTTGGGAATTTCGCCCATTATTTTCCTATTTTTGTAATATATATATATATATATATATATATAAACTGTATTATCTCTAGCTTTCAATGGACTTTGCCATCTTCATCAGGAGAGTCGTATGTGAGATTGTCGTTAAATGTTATTAACGTTTTGGTTGAGGGAAACACCCAGTAATCTGGTGAATGCTGAATACATGGTACATTCGTCAAAATTAATATAAACTACACACACACACTCACACACACATATTTAAAACGAAAGTTAAAATTACATCTTGAACCACCTCACCTAACTGGTCTAAATGACAATGACCACGTCTCAAGCAATATATATATATATATATATACAAACAATATTTGCCGACTTTTTCAACATTTGTTGGCAAGTACAAACGCAACAAATAAACTTTAACTATAAACACTTAAAAAGAAACAACTACCAAGTGTAATGACCATATAGTTCGCTGAAGCAAAATCGGTAAAATTTTTCCATTTTGGAGTTACACACGTTTTTTTTTATTCGATTTAACCTAGATTTTCCGAGATACATCTGCACCGACACATCTTAACATAGAGGAAAAATGGTATTAACATTTTCAGGAAAAAAATATTTCCATAAAAGTTGGCTCGCTATATTTTGAAAACAAAGTAGACGCAACCTATGAAAAATGCAGATAATGTTGATAAAATACTAATATCTGAAAGTACGTACTGCTTTTTAAAATTATTTTCAGCATTACTTGCGGCGATAAAAATAAAGATTTTCCACAAAGCTCTTTCATATTTTCCAAAAGCGTTACCTCCGTATTTTTCAGATACCGTTACATTATTTTATTTACCGGTCTGTCGTCATTGTTTGCAAAGATAATGTGGATTTTGCTAAGTTCATCAAAGTAGATAGGAAATTCGTGTCTAATCTCCTACTTCCATATTCTCGATTACGCGCGAAAACACCGCCGGCTATCTGGTACTGAAAAATCTACTACAGGTTGATCTGTTCAATATAATGGTAACACCCTTTCTCTCGAAGATAATTTCAAGCGACAAGCCATCTGATTTTTGAAAACCTTCTAAAGAAATAATCAAAACTATCTACAGCGAAATCTCCTTTGGACGGACACCAAAGGGACCGACTGAAGGTGTAGGTTCAAGAGGGGTGTATAACAGAAATACAACAAAAATAGCGTTTTTAATGAGAACTGCATATAAAGAAACTGGGACATTTAAAACTTATATGTATATAAATGTTTTTAAAATAAACAAAATACTTTAAACTTAAGAAAAACGGTTTGTTACCTTTAGATGTATACAAAGTATGTACATACGTATGTATGTACATACAAAACAATGAAATAAGAAGTCACTTTAAGGACGCAAAAATTCATATATTATCGTTTGTCTCCTCCTTTTCTTTAAAATGGCGTCTTGAAATCGAATTTCTAATTTAGAAAGAAGCTCCAACGAATCTGTATCTCCCTGATTTTCCACAAAACTTTTGAGCTGCTTAATCAGGGCAATACCTTTACCATAATTTGGAATAGCTTCTGTTGTACTGGAACCTCATCACATCAGAATCTTCTGAAAGTTCTTGTATTCCAACTGGATTTTTAATTTCTTGGCCTGAATGTGGATTTTCAACACACAAACTTTCACCTAGGTTCGAAAAGTCATAAAGGCTTTTATTATCAGTCAATTTCAACAATTTCTTAATTTTGAGGATAGGTATCTGAAGCTAGATTAAGTGGTAAGTCATCTTCTGGGTCAGGTGTATCAGCCTTATTTAACTGGTCTTCATTTCATATTTTCATGCTTAAATGCACGTGGTCCCAAGCTGTACCTGCAGTTTCAATGTTTACTAGGATGTTTTTGTGTATTAGACTTCGATAATAAGTTTTAAAACTCTTTATAATTCCTTGGTCAAAAGGTTGACAAGCTGATGTACAATTAGGGAGCAACAATAAGATTTTTATATTATTTAAGCGAATGTCTTTTGGATGAGATCCCGCACAATAACAAAATGCTTCTTTTTTCTTTAGCCATTTTCCAATCTAGGTCTTGCAACAACTCTGTCATAATTTGTCTTGTCATCCAAGCTTCCTTATTGCATTTCTAAGTTACAGGCAGCTCATTTATGGTTAATGTTTTTAAAAGCTCTGGCTTTAGCTGCCTTAACAATAATTACTAGTAGTTTCTGTTTTTCAACCGGCCATATTTACACAGTGCAAAATTGTAAATCTTCCTTTGGAATACTTACCTCCAACACAATTTTACTTATTTCTTTCTCAGCAGAAGAAAAAGATGTTCCTTTTTATTCTGTTTCTTGTCCGGTTAGGAGCACATTTTCTCGTGTTCGCGTCCGTTCAAGAGAATATCCGTCCAAGAGAGAGTTAATACAAAGCAAATTATATGAAAGTCAGTCGGGACCATGAGAAACTGTCCGTTTAAAGAAGATGTCCGTACAGAACCTCTACTTTATAAGGGAATCTGTAATGCTAAGGTTTGTCACTAAGTTTGTAGCGCCATCCTTGGGATAAACTCCGAACTTTTTTAGAACGTATACGAACTGTTATAGAACCCTTTAAAAATATAGAATACCTAGCGCCATCTTTGGACGTGCCTCTTACACTGTGGAGGTAAATTTGAATTAAATATTCAAATTATATACAACATATTTATTTTTATGTGTATTTTTTCAATTCAATACATAAAAATAACAGTTTGCAAGATGTTAGTAATCTAAAAATAATCGGTATTACCGATGTACCAACGGGTGCATAAAAAACTGGAACAGCACCTTATCTGTTATCAGACAAGCATTGTAACTGATCTTGTTATCTCTTTATAAGATAAGGTCATCGATAGTTCAGGAGATAGGCGATGTCCATGTGTTTTCTGCACCGGAACAAATGAGTAATTAAATTTACAATTAGCAATTTCTCTACTCCCTTCATGACTTTCCGGGCTACTCTGGACATTTTCCGGAACCATACCTAAAAAAAGAATTGAATTTCGTTATATTTATACGTATAATGATAGGTATACTTTTCCAAAAGTTGTGGAAACTGTGAAAGTTTTTAGGACACCAAACTGTTCGAATCAGTTAATCCTGATTATTCACTGATTACAAAGTGCATGTACCTGGCCTATATACATATGTAAACAAAGTTATTACTTACGTAAAGATTGAAGTTCAGGAAGATGTAATGTGGCAAAAGCTGTTCTTTTCAGACCTCTCTTGGTTCCAGGTACTTTGTCCGAAAAATATAAATCACTCACCAAATAGCTATTATAAATTTGTTCGTGACTTTTATTGTCCAAAACTGGATTTCGCACTTGCTCGATACATTTGTTAAAAAGAGCGGCATCATATTTTGGAAATGTATGCCATTTACTGATTGTATCAGTACCACCAGGCATCACGTACTTTTTAAATCCTCGCTTCCGATAAGCCTCTATTACAAAGATTGAATTTGTAAATTTAAATTCAGTTTAACGCACAATAGATATCAGTATCACCGACACAAAACTAATAAAAACGCCGACGCCGCACAAAATTCAACTTTCAATTCAAAGTTACGGATACATGAACGTCAAAGCATTGAACATTGGACTGTCAAAAAGAATGACGGGAAAATTCAACATCATCGTCCCTCTATGGTTATATTCCGCGCTAACTATATAAGAATATTTTTTTGCCTACCAAACATACCTTCAAAGTCACTCATTCAACTTTCTTTAATGAAGGGCCGTCCGCGAAGGGGAATTTCACTGTATAGTATTGCTTACAAAATCCTACATCATATCTCATCCATCATACGTAGAGTAGGCAGCGATCATCTGCATTTGCTTCTAGGCATCAATAGCAATATAAGTGACCTCCGATTCTAGGCGAATCGGTCGCCGGTGACGTCATAACCTCAACGCCCGAGTTGCTAGCCGGCACCCTGCCTTCTGCAACGACGACATCGCAGGGGGGCGTGGTCGGACCGCCCTCCCCAATCAACCACCAAGGCGGACTGCTGTCGTTGACCAATGCGCCGGCTCCGCCCAGTCCGGATAGCACCCCACGCCTATATCCTTGCCACATCGTCACGCCCGCAGAGGAGGAGGGACGGGGCAATAGACCAATTCAGGAGGATCAGAAGGTCTTTGACGGAGGCGGAGCTTTCACCATTGGGACCACTGCCAGTGTTATCAGGTGAGATTTTTATGTATGAAAAATGTATTGAAACCTTACCAGAAATAATATAGTCTCTTTCAAACGTCATTAAATCAACCAGCTTCCAGATAAGCCACTCAAAAGTGAGGGGATCGTACAATCAGTAGTTTAACGAGGTTGTGAAAGTTTCATTTATAATAGCTGAACAAGGCCTTTATGCTGCATCAAAGTGTTCAGATCTATGACCCATACACCAAAAAGGAAATCTTCAAGATTTATCACACAAAGTGTATCCACCAAAGCATGTGCTTATTAACTCGCGTTCAAAACATGACTAGCATTCACCATATTTAAAATGATACTATCGCTGAGAATTCACCATATTTACACATTCACCTTTTTTATACAGGGTGTTTCAATTTATTGTTGCATAACTTTAAGATTCGATAGAACTTTTAAAATTAATGCATAAAGTCTATATAAACATGGGTCGAAAAATGCGTGGCTTCCGAAATACAGGTTGTTTAAATTTACTTTCTAAAATAGTTTTTTCTAAATATTTCTAACAATATTTGATGTATAACAGTGAAAATTGGTATACAAGGGTTTTTTGGTACGGCAAAAAGAAACATGGGAATAGTTTTACTGTAGCCGCTAGAGGGCGCTCTCTACTGTACCTGTAGTGTATTAAAATGACCGAAAATTTTTTCTTAGTGCAATTTTTTGCTTTTTAAATAAAAAAAATTATTCTTCGCACTTTTCAACATAAAAAAGCTCTCCTGTGAGTTTTCTTTATAGTTAGCCGTTTTTGAGATATTTCGATTTTTAAGGTTCGATGCATTTTTAATTATTTGTTGGAAAATAATTTTTTTTTTACATTTTCGAGTTGGGCATTACAAGTAATTAAGATGAGCGCTTAGATTGTGTTTTTAAACACAGCAATAATTCCTAACTCCAAATAAACACAAAAAACAGAATATTAATTTGTTTAATTTTCCAATATTATTTTTAACAAATTAAATTAATTATTTACAAATAAAATGCTATTCGATAGTTAGGACAAACATACAAAATCTAAAGTAGTTGCTGGAAATGTAAACCCAATTGTTCAATACACAATTCACATCTACGAATGATCGAACGTGGTATAGCATTATTCAAATAGGGCCTTATTTCATCACATGCATTCCTGATTCTGTCTACTAGCATATCTCTTGTGGTTACGGGAGTCTGGTACAGTTTTTCTTTTTGAAATCCCCACACAAGAAATCTAATGGATTTAGGTCAGGGGATCGTGGAGGCCAGGCGACTGGTCCTCCACGGCCAATCCATCTTTCTGGATAATTTTCGTCCAGCCCGTTTCTAACTATTCTCGAATAATGAGCTGGACAACCATCAGGCTGGAACCAGGCCAATCTTCTTAAATCTGACATAACATCATCCCAAATATTTGCATGTTCAGCCTTTAAAAATTCCAAGAAGGTCGCAGCATTTAACCTTGCAGGCAAAAGGTAGGGTCCAAATAGTCGATTACGGTAGATACCAATCCACACGTTCACACTAAATTCATGCTGAAAATTTCTTTCCCGAACTGTATGCGGATTTTCATGCGACCAAATATGTTGATTATGAACATTTACCACTCCACGTCTAGTGAAGCATGACTCGTCGGTCCATAAAACGTTACTTAAAAACTCCCCATTATTATCAGTTCTATCAAGAATCCACTGACAAAATGTGATTCTTCGTTCCCCGTCCCCTGGCTGTAGTCCTTGCACAGGTTGCAAATGGTAAGGACGTCTATGGTCATTTCTAAGAACACGGTGAACATGGCTTGCTGAAATTCCCAAGGCACCAGAAACTTTCCTAACACTTGTGGTTTTATGCAAAAACAGCCACTAAGGCAAAATTCAACAGACGATTCTTTGAGTAGTTTTAAGACCAAAACTTATATATATTATACAGGGTGTTAAAATTTAACAAGAAATGGTTTTTTTGTAAATTTCTCAAATATTGTTTACCTAATTTTGTTGTAATTTGACGGTAAAGGTATTTAAGAAATTTACGAAATACCATTTTTTTAAAATTTCATCACCCTGAATCTTGAGAACGAACAATTTGCGGATTTATGTTCATATGAACTTTTTCTCTTAAAATCACTCAAAGTATCGTGTGTTAAATTTATGGCACATGTTTAATTAACACCCTCTAAAGCGGTGCAAGTACCAAAGTTACGAGGTAATGAACTGGAAGTTTGGAACGATAACCTATAATGCCATCAATTTGTATTCAAACGATTCGACTAATCACTATATCGCAACTTCATGAAACCCTTTCTGTCAATAATTACAAATTTGCTTTCCAGGCCAATCTCCTCCCTGCGTTCAGCCAGCCCACCCACGGGCCGTCCCTCGCCACCGTTCAGCCCCACCTCTCAACCCCCACCCAGACCGCACAGTTCGCCAGGTCGGCCCGCCACAGCATCATCGCCACGCCTTTCGCCTGTCATCCGACACGCCCCATTGGCTGCCGCGGTAGCCGCAGCGGCTGCAGCTCCGCCCCGCGGCGTCATCATCAGCCAATCTCAGCAGCAGTTGTGGCTGAAGCATAGTCGGATCAACGGGGTTAAGCCTGAATTGATTGGGGGCAGCTTTCCGCCCGCATCTCCTGTTGGAGCGACTGTTTCGCAATCACCGGGTAAGTAGATGATTTTATTCCTTTATTGCTTCTGTCAGATCATCTTAGGATGATTTAGTACACGTCAGTGGTATAGTAGATAAAAAAACAGAGAAAATAAATAAGTAAATAACACACATTAGTATTTTGCAGTCAAAAATAAACAAACATTGGGATATAACATAAGAATGGACAAACATTCAACTAAAATAATTTCTTCAACTTGTTTTTTGCCAACATAATGGCTATATTTGAAGCATGCTGTGTCAACAATACCAACGTTTTAGCTTTGTTTTTGTTTACTTTTGTTAAAATGTGATCTCTTAGTTTTTGTGATGAAAGCAGTTTCTGAGAGCTGAGACAGATATTTTTAGTTATTGCCGTGTCGTTCACTTCTAATGTCACTGAGTGTATTTAAGAAAGAATGCAGCAGAATTATCTGCGATTGACAACAAATACAAAAATTTTCAGTAACTGAAAAATGTATATCAGAAATTTTTCGTCGTGTGACTTGACTGGCTCATGTACTGGACCCGTCAATTGTTTAAAACGTTTTGCTCTCAGATAATTTAATAATTGTACTGTTCATTTCAGGAAGCAGCCCCCTTCACCGGTCAGGTTCCATGAGCCACCACCATCACCACCAACCCTCTCCGTCTGGGGTGCGGTCGACGCCCACTGTGATAATGGGCGAGGCGGGGGGCGTGCGCACCATGATCTGGTCGCAACCCTCACTGATTCCAGGGCCGGCCTCGCCGCAGCAGCAGGACCATGCGACGACAAGTTGGCAGGCTGCGGCTGCGGTAGCTGCCGCTGCTGCTCAAGTTGGAGTCGATGAGACTGCTGCGCAGCTGTTGCTCAATCTAGGTAAGAAAAGTTACCTAAATTGTATGTTTCGATCACATTTGAAGACACAAGTGGATAAAGGTGTCATGTAAAGTTTTTTAAAAAATCGTTTTTTTGTCTTAATTAAACTTAACGAGTAGTTCTTTCATTCTGTAATTAGTTTGTTGAAAAAACAAGATAATAACAAACTAATTAAACTGAATATTTAAAATGTCTCAATAAAAAATGTTTAAAGTCAATTTCCTCCATACAATGATTTCATTACATGACACCTTCATCCACTTGTGTCTCCAATAATTAAGTTAGGATGAAAATATAGTGAAATTGGCTTACTTTTTCGGTATTGGCTTTCAATGCTTTTCCTGGCGGAGACAAACATCTCTAGCTTCCAAAATTACGAGGTGCACTCCAATCTGAGAAAGATCAGAGTATGACTTTTTCTGCTCCAAAAACGTTTATTTGGAATCAGACCGGAAGGATATTCTGAGTCTTCGCCTCAACTCCAAAACATCCCCCAAATTTATTTGGTGCCTTTATCGCAAGTTTTGTGTCGCTGTGAAGCTCTGAGCTACTATAGGCAGACTATACTGGGGTCCATTACTTTGGACCCTCAGGATGTCAAGGAGTTGGACTCAAGGCGATTCTCAACTTCGCTAAAAGGGCGAGGCTTGTGATCTAAGGATTGTAGAGGTGCATAAGGGCCCGCTTAAGTGGCCTATGCACTGGCTCCTTATGGTGGCCGGAATGCCTCTAATTTCAAGATTCATTCATTCAGCGGAGCCTTCCTCTCTGAAGAGAGACCTGGAGGTTATCACTGCTTGGGGACGTAACAATCTTGTACAGTTTAATGCTTCCAAAACACAGTGATGTACCTTGATGAACAAAAAGCGTCCTAGCGCTTGGTTTCGATGGATGGCCGAGTTCTGTCAAAGAGCCGTTCATTTCGGCTGGTCGGAGTCCAGATTACCTTGATTTGGTACGAACACGTCAATAGCGGCAGCGGCTACTTGTTTAGGGCTAAGATGTACTCAAGAGGAACAAAATTTCTTAGGCATCCTCAGAGCAATCGCGGCGTCCTGGCATTTTCCTTCTGCCTGCGCGGTTCCCTCGGTATGAAAAAAGTGTACGAGAAAGAAGCGTAAGACACCATGCAACACCTATGTTAAGCCCTATAAGCGTCATCACCACGTTGCTGGCTGTATGATACTCTTGGTAAAATCATTAGACCCGTAACCAGAGCGAAATCATGGATTCAACGAACCCTCTGTTTCTTCCAGGTCAAGACCGCTTGCGGCTGCCGGTGACAAGCACGACGATGGTAAACACGGGCAACAGCAACGGAGGCGGTTCTAGCAGCAGCGGCGGTCGCCCCTCCCCACACTCCCCGGTTTCCTACTCGCCTTCGACAGGGGGCGGAGCTACAACAGGTGGGGGTGGGTCTCCTCTGAATATGGAGCGACTGTGGGCAGGCGACTTGCGGCAGTTGCCAGGGGCGGCGGCCATCGCGGCTGCAGCTGGGAACTCGCAGCAGTTACACGCGCTCAACCTGTCTGCACCTACCGCTGCAGCGGCGGCGCTGCTGGGGTATACGGTGAGTGTCACACTTTTATCTAACTGGATAGTTCCTTATACATGCAATTTACTTGAAATGGGTTTTATAGATTTTTCGGTCCTGAGAATAATTCAAATTTTAGTTTGATCGAACCCATGAAATTGTTTGCTTTATTTTAGTAATTGATTGATCATTGAATGCCCAAGATTCGCAATTTTGACATTTTGGTTCAAAATTCACCACTTTTCTAATATTTAACTTATACAGGGTGTTTTCAAAGTTATTTTAACAGCTTGTAGAACTCGTCGCCAAAAATTATTTAGTTAAAAGTTGCATAATAAGTGAGTTAGTTTTAAAATTATTATTAAAAATTATTTATAAAAATCGTTATCAAGTTAAATGGATACCGCTTTTACAAAAATTGTTCAAAATTGTCCCCATTTGTTCGATTAACGCAAGATCTTGTTCGGCGAATCTCGTCTGTTTACAAGCTTCGAAAATAAAGTTCTGGTGTCCCCTGACTGCGCCATCATGATACACCAACTATTTGCAATAGCCCCACAGAAAAAAATCGCAAGGCGTTGAATCCGAGCAGGCTAGGAAATGGGTCTATTGCGCCCTATCCATCTATTCGGAAACTCATTATTTAGATGTTCAGGAACTTCTCGTCTAAAACGTGGTCGAGCCCCATCATGTAGGAACCACATATTCTGCCTCACATGCTGAGGAACATTTTCTAATAATTGTGGCAGATTGTGTCGAAGAAAATCTTGACAAATTTCATCGGTCAGTCGATGAGGAAAAAGGTAGGGTCCAATCAGAGCCATTCACCACGCCAGCCCAACCATTTCATGAAAACCTATATTGAAAATGAGTTCTTTCTACAACATGCGGATTTTATACTGCCCAACCATGATTATTTTGGCAATTCTGCTCTCCATTTCGTGTAAATGTGGTCTCGTCTGTACATAAAATTAATTTCGTAAAATCTTCATTTCTTCCAAACTGTCAGGTCGTAACACTTGTACCCGTTGATAATGATAAGGATAATACTGTTCTTGTCGTATTGTCTTTGCTATGAGAAACTTCACCTTGAACTGCTATGGCTCTAATACTCATTGTTGGGTCGTTTTCGACCATTTCTAAAATGTCGTCCTCAATTTGTAACACTTCAGGTCAAACAGGTCTTCCAGCGTGACCTCCTCGTTGTGCTTTTAAATATCATTATGCAGTTTCTTCGTGCTCAAGTGATTATACGCGCGTTAAGGAATACCTCAGTACCGATTGACCTGGGCGCCACCGCCATCCCCCGCTCTAGAATTCTCAATTGGAGGAAGCCCCTCCTAGATGAATATTTAATATGACCTTTAGATTCAGATCAAAGCTCCAGCATACTCCAAATTTTTTTGCTACCTCTATCGCCTTCCCCAGAACCAAAACCCGTTGGAATTCCTCGCTGTCAAGATCCACTTGTTAAACATCAAACAGTCTGCCTCAGAGATAGTTCTGTCAAGTAAGACTGATACAACAGGTCGTTCCATTGAAACGTTCGGAGGACTGACAAAACTGGTGAAAGGCAATTCCGATGTTTCAAATTCTCTCATAAGCAGCAAAACTTTAGTTTTACTACAAAATCGTGATTATTCGGTGCAGAATCCAACATCGTTGAGCCCCATCAAAAAATCGAGTAATATTTTTGATATGGCAGAATTCAATCAGTTTCAGAATATATTTTTTTATGGTATCTCCATTTACCCAACGTCTAAGATTTTCTGCTTATAATAATAATAATAGCCTTTATTTAACCTGGCGGGTGTCAGCTAAAAGCTGTTTTTCATACCAACCAGGGCCAAACAAAATTATAATACAAAATCTGGGATACATAAACATTGTTGAGTAACAATAATGAAAAATCTATTATGCCAAAAATAGGCATTTTTTTAATTTAAAGAAAAAATCATATATATTCACAGTTAACAGTTACACCATTACATAAGTTAAAAACTAAATAATATAAGGTATTATGACATATTTTCAAAAACATTTTTTTTTACTTTTGACCTAAAAAGTGGAACAGATAAAACTTTAAAGCTGACAGGGAGCATATTATAGCGATTGGGTGCAACAAAAGAGAAACTCTTAGTAAATAGGGTGGTTCTATGATGGGGCGTGTTAAGGGTGTAACCAACGAAACGGAGGTTGGCTGCATGATGCTGACTTCTCAAGGATAACTTATTATTTAAGTATATAGGGTATTTGGTCAATAAAATGCTATGAACCAAACATAAAATGTGAACCAACCACCTCTGCCTCATCGTCAACCAATTCACTTCTCGAATAAATGGAGACACTCGCTCCCTTCTTCGGATTCCAACAGAATATCTAATACAGCTGTTCTGCACTTTCTGAAGTCTGTAAGCTTCGGCTTCAGTCAAACAAGGACCAAACACGGAACTTCCATATTCTAACTTACTTAAAATGAGTGAATCGCAAAGCTTAATTTTAGTATCTTGAGACAACACTTAGAAATATGATCATGAAAAGTTAAGTGCTCATCAAAGATTATTCCTAAGTTTAATACCGATATTTTGTGTGTGAGCTGTTCACTATTGAGGCATAGCTTTATAGCATCTCCACTGAACTCGTTCTTCTTAGAGCGGAAGGTAATTATGGCCGATTTGCTACAGTTTATGTGTAACCCGTGGTATCTAAACCAATCACAAACGCCGCTTAAATCTACTGCTAGTTTTTCATTAGCATCAACACATGAGGAGGGATCATAGGATAGATAAAGCTGGGTATCATCAGCATAAGAATGTAAGGCGCAATGTTTGACCGACCGATCCAAGTCCGACACGTATAAAGTAAATAAGATTGGTCCTAAAATGGAACCTTGCGGCACCCCCTTTACAATGACCCGATTGTCAGAATAGTCACTGCCTATTTTAACTTGTTGAAGTCGGTCTGATAGGTAATTGTCAAACCATGTAATCGAATTCTCAGAAAAACCAAGAAAGTGCAGCTTAGCCAATAACATTTTGTGGTTTAAACAGTCAAATGCCTTTCTTAAATCCAGCAGAACAGTTGTAGTTACGCAGGAATTATCTGTAGCTCTCAAGTAGTCATCACAAATGTCAACTAATGCAGTCACAGTACTATGATTTTTTATAAATCCCGACTGTGTATTTGGAATTGAGCTGTATTTATTGATGTGTGTTAGCATTTGCTCGTAAACGATCTTTTCTAGAATTTTTGACAAGAGTGAAAGTATGCTTATAGGCCTGAAATCGCAAGGCAATTGGGGATTATCGGTTTTACCAACGGGAATAACAGTTGCGGCTTTCCATATGAGTGGTACGATACCATGTTCCAAAGAAAAGTTTATAATATGAGTAAGAGCCTTGAGGCAAAAAGGAAGAATATAGGAAAATGTGTCTATATTTAATCCATCTAGTCCGGTAGCACGCGAGTTTATTTTTTGAAAGGTCTTCAAGACTTTTTCCTCGGTAACAAACTTAAACTGAAATAGGTCTATTCTATCAAAAGAAAACCTTTAAATCAAAGATAGGTCTAAATCGTTGCAATTGAGACGTACCATATCATATTCAATGTTCATTACTGTTAAACCTTAGCTGAAATTCATAAAATATTTATTTAAATTTCAAATTTCAAATTCTTTTATTATCCCAAGAGACATTACAAAGTATGTATAAGATTCGTCGGAATAATAACTAATAAAACAACACAAAATAAATATATGTATAAAACAAACACACAAATAAATCATAACATAACAAACTCAGAGACGGCATAATAACATTTACACACAAGAAAATCTGTCAGCTTAGCCTTAAAATTATGTATATCTCCACAGTCTTTAATATGTTTTGGTAGTTTATTGAAAATTTGTGGACCCAGTATTTTCGTTTGTCTGGTCGAGTACGAGTTAAAAGTGTTTAAAAACCTAGTTTTGTTAATCAAAGTATACACAGCCATTTCATGGAAAAATAAAGATGGTAAAGTTAAAATCTTAAGGCGCTTAAAAATATCCTTACAAGAATGCCTACTGCTGACTCCCATCATGCATCTAACCACTCTTTTTGGGCCAAAAATACTTGTTGGGCATTTGTAGACAAACCCCAGAAACATAGTGATACCTCAGTCGTGTCTCAACTTGAGCATAGTAAACAGAAATTATCTGTGCTTCGGTAAGGACAGTTCGCAAATTTTTCATAAGATATGATTGGGAGTTTATCTTTGAAGCAATATATAAACAGTGGTCTTTAAAATTCAAACCTGTATCTAGATACAAGCCCAAGAATTTAACTTGCGTGTTAAGAGACATTCTTGAGCCATTAAAAGTGATCTTTAATGTCCTAGGCTTCTTCTGGATGTTGTGAAATTGGACAACTGATGTTTTTTCAGAATTCAAATAGAGCTGATTGCTGCTAAACCACTTGTGAATACCTTGCAATAAAACTCCACAATATCTCTCTAATGTAGCCTCACACTTATTCGATATCACCACTGAAGTATCATCTGCATATAAAATGAATCTACCTTCAGAGGAACAGAACTCAAGGTCATTTACATATAGACTGAATAGCACAGGTCCTAGAATAGAGCCCTGAGGGACGCCTATGGAGATGTCAGCTACGTCGGACTTAATAGGCGCATTCAGACCACTATCGACGATACTTACAAATTGGGACCTATTATATAAAAAAGACCTTATCCAGTGATATGGTGGACCATTTATGCCATACTTTGACATTTTTTGCAACAGCACTTCATGATTGACGCAGTTAAGGATTATACCGCCGCTACAAAACCATATTGTAACGCCCTCGTATAGCTGGGACGTTGAGTGGCGAGGAGTCGCCTTGCACAGTCGACGCTTAGGCAATTAGTTACGCGACAATGTGTGAGCGCTTGTGGCGGGGTCTTAAATGGGTTAGGCCGAGATTCAAGAAACTCTAAACTACTTCCATGGAAGTTTATGACTTGACCTGGAAAACGCTGGAACATTTCTCGATGCGTCGATGGAGGGATAAATATCCGACCAGATGTCGGAAGCAGTTACTCACAGTCGAGACTTAGTTGAGCCAGTGGACAGCGGACACGAAATTAAGATAGCATAATAATTCAGTCGACACGGTTGTTATAAATTTTTTACTTTGAACAGTATAACTGTGTTTTCTTTACAGTATATCACGCTATTAGGTATACCAACTCGTGAAAGACTACGTTCATCGCTGGTTCATTAGTTAATTAATTTTCTCCTAAAAATCACATCAAGAATCTATCGCATTTGAAGTCTGACCTTTATTTTTTTATTTAAGCCAATGGACGTGAAGCCCTTACTAGACCCGGCAGGCGTAGATCCCCAGTCCACGTCGGGAGCAGATGAGGAAGAACAGCCAATGATTTGCATGATATGTGAAGATAAAGCCACTGGGTTGCATTACGGCATTATCACCTGCGAAGGATGCAAAGTAAGTGTAACAATACTGCAAGGATTGCTCGACAGTCCTTGGAAAAATACAGAAGCTTCGTTCCAGAAAAATGGTAAATTCATGTTCAACACAAATATTTCTTTCATCCAGTGGTATGATTTGAACAAGAATTAGTATCGACACTGCTAAAACAATTTTCATAACATGCATAACGCTAATTCTGGCACACGGTTTTGTGAAGCAAATTTCACTTGGTTCTTACAAATTATGGAACATTACGGATGACTTAATGGTACGTTAAACTAAAGCACTTCAATAGTACGAATATAGTTATTGAAGTTACTTCACCTGTCAGGCGAGCGATTTTGGAGAAGGGATATATTTTCATTGGATGGAAGAGATCTACAGTTCAGGACCATATACATTTTGTGAAGTGTATGAAATGTTGTGCCTTCGGTCATATAGAGAATTCTTGCAATGCGGAGCAGGTTTGCCCTCGATGCACAAGAAATCATAAATTGAAAGAATGTAAATCCGATGTGTTACAATGCATTAATTGCCTAAACTATAATCGATCCAACAAAATGAGTATACCTACTGATCATTCTTCCAATTTTAACGGTTGTACTGTGTATCGGCGTTACGTTGAAAGTATGCAAGAAAAAATTAGTTATGAATGAAACAAATAACCTAAAATTATGTCATGTTAATGTTCGCTCGTTAACAGCAGATTTTAATAATTTTGTTCATCTGATCAATGATCAGTTTGATTTAGTCGGAGTAACAGAAACCTGGTTGAATTGCAATATTCCTGATCGCGATATATTGCTTAATGGATATACATTTTTTAGGAAAGATCGTTCTGACAGGGGAGTTGGTGTCGGGTTATACGTAAAAGTAAATCTCACATGTCAACTGCTAGAACTAGATTTTGCTGTTAATACCTCACTTGAAATTATGAGCTGCAAATTGGTCGCAAATAACCGCAACTTTTTAGTCATTGTTGTATATCGTCCGCCTCATTGCTCCATGAATCAATAATTCATCCAAGTTCTTGCCAACATACTCTCATTTTTCACTCCACAGTATGAAAATATAGTGTTTCTTGGCGACATGAATGTTGATTTACTTAATCATAACAATATTCTTAGTAATTGTTTTGATTCCTATAACTTTACTCAAGTTATCAATGAGCCAACTAGAATTACGCAGTTCAGTTCTACATTGATAGATCCTAGGTATATTCATCAATGCTGGGGTAATGTTAAACAAATCTGGAACGCTAAATGCTGATATCATTTCAGATCATAGGTTGGTATATTGTGAACTTCTCGTGACTATTCCTAGACCAGAAGCAAAGTTTTTGACATATAGAGATCTAAAAAATGTGAATATTGAGCTGCTTAAAGAACGATTAACAACTTTGCATTTGGATGATGTTTTCTATGTACAAGACATTGATACGAAAGTTTCAATTTTCACTGAGCGTTTGATTCACTTATATAATGAACTTGCCCCAATCAGGTCTGCACGCATTACCAAAGCTGCTGCTCCTTGGTTGACATCAAATCTAACGCGTATACTTCGTTTGCGAGACAATGCGTTTCGGGCATATCAGGAAAATAAAACAGAACAAAATTGGCGGACGTATAAGGACCGTAGAAATTTTGCACTGGCATCGATTCGCAGAGAAAAGAAGGCATATTTAACCCAGCTGGATATTTCGAACTCGGAAAAGCTATGGAAAAATTTGAGAAGTATGAATATCTGTCAGCAGAAACGAATTGAGATTCCTGATAGTTTATCTGATCCAGAGGAAACTAATAATCATTTCCTCTCAAATTTTACATTCGACGATCACTCCAATAATGTAGTTAATAATACAGCCAATTTTTACTCCAACAACCGTTTTGATAATAATTTGACTCCTTTCACTCTTCATACAGTAACACAAGAAATCGTTCTTGATATCATTTTATCGATTAAATCGACTGCCACTGGGAGTGATGGATTGAATTCAACTACTTTGTTTGCCTGAAACACTTGACCACATAACTCACATAGTAAATATGTGTTTAGAGAAGGGCTTTTTCCCAACAAGCTGGAAAGAAACTGTCATCACACCTATTGCTAAAGTCACAAACCCAGCTGAATACCATGATCTTAGACCGATCAGCATTTTATGTTTTCTTTCTAAGATATTAGAAAAGATCGTCTATCTACAGCTTATTGAGTACCTTGAACTTAATCATATGTTTCCGATACATCAGTCTGGATTCCGCAAGAATCATAGTACTACAACTGCTTTGATATATATAATTGATAACATAATCAGAAATTTGGATGATCGCATTGGTACAATATTGGTTATGCTTGATTTATCTAAAGCGTTTGATTCTGTGAACCACCGTATACTTTTGAGTAAGTTGAAGTACCTTGGTTTAGGTAATACTGCTCTTATGTTCTTTGACTCTTACTTGTCTAATCGAACGCAAAAGGTGAAAACCAGTAAAGGTGTATCTGTGCCCAAGTATGTTCCTTCTGGAGTTCCACAGGGCTCGATCTTGGGACCTCTACTTTATTTGGTTTTCACGTTTGACTTGCATAACAGTCTTGAGCATTGCGCAATCCAAACTTATGCAGACGATACAAGGTAACATTTAATTTTGACTCTAGCAACTTCAATGAAATTTCTTATAAACTTAATGTCGACTTAGCTAATATTGATAATTTTTGCAAACAGCACTCACTGAAAATAAACCCTAGTAAATCGAATGCTATTGTCTTTAGTCCACATAATTTTCCAGTTAATGTTGTTGATCTAATCCAACTGTCTGTGAATCATACCCTTAGTTAACGAAGCAAAAAACCTGAGCGTTATTTTGGATAAAGACCTCCGTTTTAATCAGCACGTGAATGCCACCCTTAAATCCACATATATATCGTTAAAATTATTATATTCAAACCGGCACATTCTTAATTTCAAAACGCGGAAAAAACTTGTTGAGAGTCTTGTTATGTCTAAAATATTTTATACGCTGGTTCTTTATTATCATTGTATTGATTATAACACTAAATATAGACTGCAGAAAATCCAAAACAGTTGTTGTCGGTTCGTATATGGCCTCAGAAGGTATGATCACGTATCGTCTAAGATAAAAGAGCTAAAATGGCTAAAACATGATAAACACTATACTTTCTCTTTGGGTGTATTTGTCCATAAATTGATTTCCACAAGGTCACCCATTTATCTTATGGACAAACTTGTACCTCGTGGTCAAGTCATTTCTAGAGCCCTACGACATAACCATCTCTTCGGTATGCCATTCCACAGAACATGTACTCGTATATTCCGAAGATGTTTTACGTACAATGCTATCAGGACTTACAACTCTGTCAACCAGGTACTCAAGTCCAAAAGCTTACCTGTTTTTAAAATTAAATACAAATCTGCTCTTTTGGAATTGCCTTTTTAAAAGTCCCTGATGATTAGCCGACTGCTTTTGTAGCTTTTGTAAATTTTCCATGCTTTATACATTCTGTAATTGTTCATTGTTTTCTTTTTATTTTTCTGTACTGTACTATTGTCCTTATTATTATTATTATTTTTTCACTTCGTTTTTGAGGTTAAGTGGTAGAGTAGCCATGTAGCTAAACTTCGCCTCAATTCGAAGGTTTCAATAAAGACGTTTATTATTATTATAATAAAATGCAAAATCACAACAGTGCAATACAAGTGCACAAAAACTCATTATCTTCACTTTGTGCTAAGTGACAAGAACCGAACATTCATAACCTTCCCTCCAACGGTTAAACAGACTTTCAACTGCTCATGTCCAAACTTGTACGTACGCGTTTCTAATTCAATAAGACATATTTTTCAAGAAACGGATTAGTTCAAAACAAACACCAAAGATGGTGAAACAACTATCATTAATAAAATTGTCGGGACCATGGAACGATTACTTATTTTTAAATTCACATAGGTCTGAACGTGTTCCACTGCCTGTGCTGGAACAAAGCTAGCAGAGTATGTTACGAGGGTTGTTTCAAAAACTGGTTCACATATTTTTTTTCAGGCACAAGAAATTTTTTATTTGAAAAAAGACCACCATTGGAAACGTTGATCTTTAAGCTATTTTTCTATGTAGTCGCAATTTTTTAGACGTGGAATCCCTCATAGGGTGCCCTTGGCCAATACGGGATAATTCATATTATTCATTGCAAGCTTTCATGTTTCTTTTGCAAAAATCTATACCTCAAATTTTACCCTCCATTTGGAATTCGCCACAATTGGATGGGGCCTCTCGTCGAATTTTGATATGGGCCCCTGCAAGCTTCGTCGCTGCTTATATCTTGAACTTTACCAACTTTTATTTCTTTCGGTGTTATTTTGAATACAAGTGTTTAATTACGGTTCTCAACTCACTTTTTTCGTTTCTCTAAATAAGTATGCTTGTTTCTATCGGCAATGGAATGAAACCAGTGACTAATACAAGTTGTCCCGAAAAAAGTGTGCAGAATTTTACCAGCGGTTTCTAGAGCTTAAAATAGGAAGAAAAGTTTATAGAAACATAGGTCGACAAACGTCTCCTAAGGGCGCTACGGTCTTTAAAAGGGGCTTCCATGAAGATGGTTTTTCCTTAATATTTCCGAAACGTGTGGAGATAGACATAAAATTTTGTATTCTACCCTAGTTTTTTATGCTGGATTTAAAAATATTAACAATTTTAGACAGTTTTGTTTGGAAGCGTATGTAACAGGGACGGACTCAAGTTATCTTGGCCCCAAAATTTTTGTGTGATTCTAACTATTCTAATTATTTATGAAATTCAATTTTAGAAGTTGAAAATTCAGGGTTTTCTGCATAAAAAAGGTACTCGTATTGAATATCGATAAATTGTGCCATTTTTGTATAAAATGAAACAAAAAATTTGTCACATGATAGGAAATGTACTGCGAATTTAAATGAATTGTTGATTATACATAGTTAGCCATGACTGCAAAAAAGTGGTTTTGATTTGGTATGACTTATTTTGACCTTAAGCTGACATTGTTAGCAGTGTAAAATTAGTAGATTCAAATCAAAATTTTTATTAAATCGATTTAAAATGCCAAGATTTACAGACAGAGAACTGACTGACATGCATTTTGTGTACGGGTTTTGCAATGGCAGTTCATTGGCAGCCGTAAGAGATTATCAAAGATTTCCCAATCGCATAATACCTGAACGTCGAATGTTTACTGATCTTCACCGGAATTTGTCAAACCATGGAAGTTTTCAGCGCATGCAGGGCTCAGGAAGGCCACTGGGAAATCATCGTATGGATATTGCTTTAAATATGTTTGAAAATAATCCGCAAATAAGCATACGGAATGTTTCAGAAAATATGGATATACCTCAATCAATAGTAAGAAAAATATATGAATACCTATTAGATAGTTATCCTAAAAATAATAATTTTAGATAGGAAGAATGACAACACTGGTCAAATGAAAATCCAAAAGTTGTTCGCCGTACAAGTTTCCAACATAGATTTTCATTGAACTTATGGGCAGGAGTAATTGGGGATCAAGTAATTGGGCCTATTGTACTTCCCAATCGTGTTAATTCAGAGGTGTATCTGAACTTTCTTCAGAATGAGCTCATGGATATAATACCATTGGATATACGTCAGCAGTTTCAAGAAAATATATTTTTTCAACAAGATCGCGCCCCTGCACATTTTGGACGCAATGTTTGAAATTGGTTGAATGTCAATTTTCCAGACAGGTGGTTAGGCCGAGGAGGCCCTGTAGCGTGGCCGCCACGTTCACCTGACCTAAATCCATTGGATTTCCATTTTTTGTGGTCATTAAAAGACCTAGTTTACTCGACTGAAATCAATACTCAAGAAAATTTACTTCAAAGAATCCATCAGGCTGCAAACGAAATAAGAAGAAAAAGGTTTTACACTTTTCGGACTACGGAATCAATTAGTTCGTTGAGCGAGACTCTGTATCCAACAAAATGGGAATTTAGTTGAACACTTATTGTAAAGCTAGTTTTAAGTATATCCAACTGTATGTCCTCTTTTTTAAACAAATTTCAATTTCGTTCGTAGAAAAAATTTATTTCTTTTGTTTTTGCCTAAATGTTAGCGATGTTGTATTTATGTAATATTTATCAATTATTAAATTAGTTTTTTCGTTGCCATGGCTAATTATTCAACAATTCATTTAAATTCGCAGTACATTTCCTATCATGTGACAAATTCTTTAGTTTGATTTTATTCAAAAATGGCACAATTTATCGATATTCAATAAGAGTACATTTTGTATGTAGAAAACCCTAAATTTTCAATTCTAAGATTGAATTTCAAAAATAGAATCACACACAAATTTTTGGGCTAAAAAAGTCCATCCCTTTTACATACGCTTCCAAACAAAACTGTCTAAAATTGTTAATACTTTTAAATCCAGCATAAAAAACCAGGCTAGAATATTAAATTTTATGTCTTTATCTCAACACATTTCGGAAATATTAAGGAAAAACCATCTTCAGGGGAGCCCCTTTAAAAGACCGTAACAACCTTAAGGGACGTATGTCGACCTATGTTTATATAAACTTTTCTTCCTATTTTAATCTCTAGAAACCGCTGGTAGAATATTGCACACTTTTTTCGGGACACCCTGTATAAATAAATCACAACATACCTGAGGTCATAATGCCTAAACAATCAACTCAAATTTACTTGATGCAAACTACAATGATATCACAAAATTAAAATTTAGTTTTGGCCGCCACTTTGCACCTGCACTAACAACAGTGTTCTACTAATTATTCTCGCCGGTTCGCTGGCCAAGCGGTGAGAAATTTAACTAAAGTTATTAACCAGCAACCAACAGATGGCTCTGCCTACCCGATTTTCGGAAATAAATGTAGAGTCTCATTCCTCCATTGTCTGAAGCCTTCCTAGTCTCCAATACCCATTTTATGCGTCCATGTTTTGAATACCCCCTTGATCAACTTCCAGCAATAAAGCCAGACTTTAGTATTATTTAGCAAACCAGGGGTATTTTCGTCTAATATGAGACAACACATTTTAGATGTATTACCATCCAAAACTTGAGATGCCCTTAACGTAATTAGAAAATACTTTGATCATACTCGTATTACGCCCTCCTAGTCGCGTTTTACTATGTCGCTTTACTATACGTTCGCAACGCGAAGCTAAAGCGGCGCGATGTCGGCCTGTGGGAAATTCGTGCGGTTATCCGACCCATAGAAATTCAATGTCAGTTGAGTGAAGTATATGGGAAACGTGTATGAGCAGTCAACATGTCCTCAAACGGTGTATAGAGTTTTTTGACGGCCGCATCGGCATCCACGATGAACAACGAAACGGGAGGCCGTCAATCTCACAGAAAACTCTCGAAAAGCTGATCCTCATGTCCTACAACAAACGAAGGACTGAATCGAGGTATTTAATAATAATAATAATAATAATTAACGTCTTTTATTTGTAATATTCTTACAGGAGGCGAGATTTAGATTATATGTATATCTATTCTACCATCTAACCCCCTTAACAATACGAGATGTAAAAAAAAAAGAATTTATTGAAAATTAATAGGCACCTGTATACAATAACGAATAATCCAAGTAAATACATAAGGAAAATATGAGGACACTTATGGGTTACAACCGATTTCGCTGCTGATCAAGAAGAACTTCTTTCACTTTTTTCTTGAATTTGGATAATGGATTGGTTTCTTTTAAACTGCGGTCTAAAGAATTATATGATTTGATCGCATTGTAAATGTATGAATTCTGAAATAGCGACGTGCTGTGGCGTGGAATTGAAAAAGTCTCTCTATATCTAATATTAATACGATGCATATTCCCTCTACGTATGAATTTGTTTACTAAATATGACGGTGTTTTTGAATAAAGAACCTTATGAGTCAGATTTAGGAGCTGGTACTTATACATTTTATCAATTTTCATCCATTTGAGTTCATTAATGGCATTCGATATATGATCATATTTTCTGAGATCATTTACAAGCCTGCAACATGTATTCATAATACTTTGAATACGATTTCTTGTTTTAAATGTATGTCTATGTCCTTTTTTAAGGTATTCTTTTTTGTTCTATTTGCGTATACCAACATATTTGTCTTCAAAGAGTTCAAACGAAGATTATGACTACTACTGAACTTTTCAATTTGGGCAAGATCTTGATTAATTTTATTATTTGCGGTTTCCAAGTCATTACTCCTAAATGAATAGAAAATTTGAGTATCATCTGCAAAAAATTGTATGCTGCATGATTTTACCTCTGTTTCTAAATCTGAGATATATAATGAAAATAATAGCGGTCCTAAGACTGATCCCTGTGGTACACCAGAACAAATTTTTTGTTCCGTAGAGTACTGTTGATTTAGACGAACTTTTTGATACCGATTTTCAAGGTAGGTTTGAATAAACGAAAGAGGTTTTTCAGAAAATCCATAGTAACTGCATTTAGATACAAGAAGTGAGTGATTAATGATGTCAAATGCTTTAGTAAAGTCAAGAAGTATGAGAGCTAATGCTTTTTGGTTATCAAGTGCCATTGTTATATTGTCTGTTAAATCACAGAGTGCCGAAGCTGTATTATGACCTTGTCGAAATCCAGGTTGTTTAGATGGAATAATTTTGTTAGAATATAAGTAGGCGCACAGCTGCTCGTAAACAACGCGTTCCAATACTTTAGAGAAAATTGGCAGTAGACTGATCGGTCTCAGTTGACCATAGTTAGTAGGATCAGAACACTTAGGTAGCGGAATAACTATAGCGCGTTTCCACTGATTGGGGAAATATCCCCTCTCTAAACAGCAGTTTATAATATGCGTTAAGTAGACATCAATTTCAGGTATACATAGTAGTATCATATGCAAAGTTATTTCATATGTACCACTAGAATTTGATTTTATTTTATGTATAATTTTAACAACGGTGTCAATAGTCACTTTATTAAATTGAAATTTGAATTTTGAGTCATTTTTATTAGCTCGGTAATATGCAATTTTATCAGCACAAGCCAAATCACTATTCTCGAAAATTGAAATGAATGCCTCATTTATTTTATACGGATCGGACAAGCTCACGGGAATTGTAGAATCTTTCCGAGATTGTACTTTGAAAGTCTTTAGGGTCTTATAAAACTTTTTTATATCCTGATTTTGAACAGCTTGTAAATAATCTCTTTTTCCTCTTCGCACGAGCGTTAATGCACGATTTCTGAAATATGTATACTGTTGCCAAGAGGCGGCTGTACGATTACGTTTGAACTTTGACAAAGCTTCAGCCCTCTGCGTTCTCGAAATTGACGGAACACCTGGGCGATCAAAGTGGATTCCACGTCTAAAAAATTGCGTAGAAAATATGGCGACTATGTAGAAATATAGCTCAAAGATCAACGTATTTTCAAATCAAAAATTCCTTGTGCCTGCAAAAATGTGAGAACCATATTTTTGAGACAACCCTCGTATAAAGTAGAAATGTCCAGACACTCAATATTTATATGCTTAGGTATCAAGTTCCCAGCCCTTAGGTCCGTAAAAAAATCTTAAGATTTGAAAAATCAATTGTAAGTTTCTAATTATTCTATCTAGTGGAATTTCCAATTTTGTCAATACATTTTTTGGGACCAAAATTTGTATATTTTTATTATTTCGTGATTCTACGTTTCGTCAAAATTTGAGAGATCTAAGATAACACGTACAAGGGGAAAGTCGTTCTATCGACGCTCTTTTTCAATCAAAGAGTGTTTAACAATGTAACATAAATGAGTATTTTTGCAGGGCTTCTTCAAACGGACCGTCCAAAACAGGAGGGTTTACACGTGTGTAGCAGATGGCAACTGTGAAATCACAAAGGCGCAGAGGAATAGGTGTCAGTACTGCAGGTTTAAGAAGTGTATAGAACAAGGCATGGTATTACAAGGTAAGAAAAAAAATCATCTCCAAAATAAACCCTCTCAAAATGATTACTGGCACTATAACATTGTGTGATCCATGTGTGGACGGAATATTATAAACAAAAATACATTTCGGGAAAATTTATGGCATGTTATACATGACATTTGAGGGCACATTTCTAAAATATTGGTAATTATACACGGTGTCCCAATTTTGACCTACACATCAAAGTTGTGATTTTTTAAATGGAATCCTCAAATTTTATTGCATATTTGGATAAACCAATTCAAAAGAAGAGGACTGACATAACATACTATGGGGTTTTGATAATTAGCTACTGAGATGTCCGGATTGTCCGGAAAAACCATCCACTTCGGCAACCCCTCAATCCGCCATTTTGAATTCGGAGCGCTGAATTTTGTATGAAAAAAAATTACATACCTCAGCTTTTATCTTATTTATTACTTCTTCAAATTTTCATTTTTGCTCATACAGGGTGGTCAAAAACGTGAATTGTGCTTTTTCTCAAACACTTCAAATGCATCACCCTGTATATTTGTGCAAGTTTGGAGTTATTAAGCTTTTAACAGAACAACACACCGAAATTAAGGAAGAAAATCACGTCATCCATGGAAACAATAGTCACCATTACTACAATTTGCGTTTTTGACCACCCTGTATGAGGAAAAATTAAAATTCGAAGAAGTAACAAATAAGATAAAAGCTGACGTGTGTAAGTTTTTTTTGATACAAACTTTAGCACGCCTAATTTCAAAATGGTGGACTGAGGGGTTGGCGACGTGGAGGGTTTTTCTAGACAAAACACCTTATATCTCAGTAGCTAATTACCAAAACCCCATAGTATGTTATATCAATGTTCTTGTTTTGAATTGGTTTATCCAAATATGCAATAAAATTTGAAGCATTCCATTTGACAAATCACAACTTTGATATGTAGGTCGAAATTTTGATACCCATAATTGCCAATATTATAGTAACGCGCCATCAAATGTCATGTATTACATCCCGTAAATAGATTTTCCCAAAATGTATTTGTTTATGAGTAATATTCCCTGTATAACCATGATTACAGAGAGTTTATTCCCAAAAGAGAATTTATTTCCTATGAATGTCGTTGATTGGATACTAAGCGACGTAATAGTTCAATGGTAATAGTTCATTGCCCTCCACTGTAATCTGCATTTTCTTCCACTATTGAATAATGCTGCTAGTTACTTAATGTCGTTTTACTTTCATAAGAGAGAAAGGCAATGTCAAGCTAATATCAATTCACATAATTATGTATAGGCGAAATCACGAAAGATGACGATTACGTCATCATTTTAGTCTGTAGTAAAGACAAACGACAGCGATTTGTCTATATTTTTAATAAAGTTTCAGATATGTTAGACAGTCACAAACATAATTTTATTGTCTAAACAAACTGTATTGCTAATTTGCAAGTATCCGACAAAGATAGACGATGTTTTCATGTTGCATGATCGGTCATATTTGAAAGATGAATAGTTAGGTTATGTTAAAGCAGGTTAGGTTGTTTTCGAATAATACTTTTGTCTTTGGTGTTCCTGTCTAAGAGTGTATTCTACTCATAACTGTTTTTTTTTCAAAACAAAAACTTCCCCCTAAAATTAAAACCATGAAATAAAATGAAAATAAAAATAATCAGTGAAATTCCCAAACTTCGCAAAATCATAATATAAATTCGTTGTCATAATATATGTTCCTGACATCATGATTTTATCATCGACATACGTCCATTGATTACTTCAGTACAATTTATGGTATGACGTAATAGTCATCTTTCGTGATTTTGACTGTATAAGAGATGTATACAGCATAACACGATACAAATATTTCCAAACTGTATTGCCTGTTTAGAAAATAGTAACTAGCAGTAGTTTTTGTTTGTTTGAACGTTATGCTCTCCTGCAAAAATCCACCGAATCACGAACAAACGGTGGTCTTTATACAGGGTGACAGGTAAATAGGTGTAAAACATTTTAGGAGGTGATAGTCAAAGATTGAAAAGTTATTGAAGATTAAAGATTTTTTTAAAAACAATCCATATTTCAGAGTAAAAAAGTCGAGAGAGTAAAAAGTGGGCGATTAAACATTTGTTTTTTGTGGTTTTGGGTTATTATTTCAATAATTAACTATTATAAATTAAAAAAGATTCGAAAACATTACCAAACAACGTATTTATTTTCATTCAAAAATGTTTAACTAAGAAAAACAAATAACGTTTTACAGTAAGTAAGGTGTTTTACAAAAAAATCAGTATTAAAAAAAACGTACAAACAATTCAAATAATATCCTTGTTTCATAAGGAATCTAAATTGGTATGATAAGTGCACAAAAACTGTGTGAAACTAAACATAATGTATTGTAATACAACAATAGGGAGTAAATTTACCAATGGCTTGTCTCCTATTTTCACAACTCTCTGATTGATAAGAAAGTGTTTTTGTAAAAATAATTTAACTGTAAGCTATGGGATACTTATTATTTTAAACTACGGTTAAGTTACACGATTAGATTATTTACACAGTTGTAATTGTACTACAGAATAATAAAAACTGACTAAAAGTTACTAAAATTGGTAAGTAAAATACAATAATGAAATGAAGGTAAAATACAATAATGAAATGAAGGTAAAATTCATTGCAATTGTTGTTCGAACTGACGCCCGCAGTTTCTTATGCAAGCCCGTAGTCTTTTTCTCATGTTGGTACGCGTGATGCGGCCAGTTAGTTGTCATCTGATAGTGTCAGCAGCAGCAATAATTCTTTCTTTCAACTGTGCAAGAGTGTCTATGGGCTCAGCGTACACCAGTGACGTCATGTGCCCCCATAAATAATAGTCACACGATGTTAAATCTGGGCTCCTCGCTGGCCACGGTGTCGGTCCACTTCGGCCAATCCAGCGACAAGGATATTTCTCGTCCAGCCACTGTCTAACACGCAGACGGAAATGCGCGGGACAGCCATCGTGTTGGTAGATCATCTGCATCCTGATATTCAGAGGCAGGTCTTCGAGATACTCCCAGAGTTCGGATCTCAAAAAGTTTTCATAGGATTCGCCATTCAGGTTGTCAGGCAAAAAAACTGGTCCAATTAGATCCGTATGAATGATTCCCATCCACACGTTTGCCGAAAATCTTCTTTGATGGGCTTTTGGCTTTGCCATGTGGGGATTTGCCTCTCGTGGGGCCCAATAATGTAAGTTGTGATAATTTGTTGTCCTGTCAAACTTAGACTCGTCGGTCCATAATATTTTAGTTAAATAGTCGTTTTCTTCTTGATCCCGATGAAGCATGTATCGACAAAAATCAATTCTTCTTGCGGGATCTCCTCCTTCTAATACTTGAACCGGTGTGTAATGGAAAGGGTAAAGTCTCGCCGAATGCAAAACGAACCAAACTTTCCACTGAGTTAAACCAAGCTGCTTTGCTATAACTCGTGTAGACGTCGTCGGGTCTCTGCCGTAGCATTCCAGTATTGCCTCTCGATCTTCGTCGTCAAACAACCGAGGTCTACCAGCATCATGACGTCTCTCGTGAACCTGTCCACTTTCCTTGACGCGTTGGTACACAGAAGCAAATACTCGATGACTCGGTATTCGCCGATTCGGAAAACGGTTTTCGTATTCTCGCCTGGCTTCAACGGAACTTTCATCACTTAAACCATAACAAAACAGAATATCAGCGTATTCTTCGTTACGGTAACTCGCCATTATTAAAACTGATCAAAAAAGTAAAAGTACGTCCTACCGCGTTAAAGGTTGATATTCTACTAACCTAAGCGTTAGTTCCCTTTCCTTGATCCGTCAGCTGTGTCAATTCATAACACACGCAGAGCTTGCTTCCGAGGAGCGACGACAGATTCCGAATACTCAAACCCGAATAACGGCACAGGGCACAAAAAATAACAAAAAGGGTCGAACCAGGAAAGGCTCGGTTTACCTGCTCAGTACATACAATGAAATGCGCTTAGCAGAGTAATATTGTTTTGTTAAATGGTTTACTTACTCATATGTTATTATACAATTTTAGAAACCTAATGAAACGAGGTAGTTTTTGCAGTTATTTGTACATTTTCTTTATTATGATTTTTTTGAAAAAAAAGATTTCTTAATGTGAAAGTCGAAAATAAAAATTTTCATCCTACATTTAAATGAGAATAAATACGTTTTCCGTAGTGTTTTCATAGGTTTTTTAATTTATGAGAATTATTTATTTAAATAATAACCTGAAACCACCAAAAAAAGAATGTTTAATCACCAACTTTTTTTTATCTCAGCTATTTTACTCTGTAATCTAAGTTGTTTTTTGAAAAAAATTGAATCTTCCATAACTTTTTACCTTTGAACATAGGGTATGGTATTTATTATATTATACTAATTTTGATAGCAAAGGAACTGTACTATCACCTCCTAAAATGTTTTGCACCTATTTACCTATCACCCTGTATGTACACATGCCAGAGGATTAAATGAAGGCAGAACAGAGACTGAACTTATTAAATCATGCGTGTCAATGGAGTGTTTTCTATTTTGTTTGGTTTTTCTAAGAAAGCGATATAAATAGCTATTTAGGTATACCAGGGTTTTCAAGTTGTATCAATTTGTGTAGTGATTTAAATAATATTACCTCAAATGGCAAAATCGTCAATTTTTGGTACAGTAAAAACCGATTTCGAACATTTAAAACATTGTATTCACAAATACAAACCATAGTTTTAGCTAATCTTACTAAAATTGCAAATCTGTCAAGTCAAGGATCAGCCACGAAGGTCATAATATGTGAACTTGCATGTGTGTTTAGTTTGACTGCGAGGCATTGTTATGTATATTCACCTAGAGTAATATACAACAGGGTCTTAGGGAAATAATATTCGTAACATTATTCTGAGCAAAAAAGTTCATTATAACCTATGTCCGAAAATCAACCTTGTCGGACCAAAAAAATGCTGCACTTATTTCTTTTTAGTCATGAAATAAATTAATTCTGCACCGTAATAATTTAAATTCATATGCCTAATAGCGTAAAAGTATCATCTATTTATTAATTAACTGTCTCTAACATAATAATTTTCTTGCTTATTAAATACAATTTTCCGAAGTTAAAAACAAACAAAATCCCTCACACAACTGGCAACGTCGCACTTCGCCTGCACTGCACGTATCATCGCTTGTTGCCCACATCGTGTTGGTAGGCAAAAAAATAAATACCTACATCGGGCAAAAATTATTTGATAGTTTCTTGCATACGCTCATGCAATGTTTACCCGAATCGAATCACATTTTATTATTCAGTATGTATTAATTACTGTATCAGTGCGTGCATTTTGATACGAAAGACATGTTTTCGGTACGCGAGTATCACGATATGTTTATTATTTACGGAGAGGCTCATTGCAATCCTGAAGAGGTTAGGTGCATTTACGAAGAACGTTTTCCTGATCGAAGGCTACCAGCTAGAAGAACATTCGTAGAAGTATCCCAAATACTTCTGGACACAGGGAGCGGAGTGCCTAATTTTAACAATAGCGGAAGGCATCGTGAAGAACAAATTTTGAATTTAATTGACGAGGATTCGACACTGAGTACGAGAAGTATTGCTCGTCAAGTCGGTGTCTCACACTGGATTGTACTTTGGACCCTTAAAGAGCAGTTATTGTACCCATATCATGTCCAGAGGGTTCAAGCTCTTTCGCCTGAAGATTTTCCACAAAGCTAAAATTTTTGTAATTGGTTTTTGGGTAAACACCAAACAAATCACAATTTTGTCGCGAACGTGTTGTCAACAGATGAGTCTTGTTTTACAAGAAAATCCACATGCAATTGCACTTGCTTGAACGGTGAGAACTACTTTTTCTTTTTTCGTGCATCGCATCGTTTTAAATAGGTGACCGATAAGCGTGGGAATTGCTGGTGTGTATCGCCACGTACCGGTAAGTTCTGTCATTTTCCTAAAATGTACTGTACTGAAAGCGTTATTAAATAATAAATTTTAGCCACAAAAAATTGGGTAAAAGTATTCAATAATTCAAGGCATATTTTCAAGAAAACTATCATACAAACGTAAACAATTCGATGATCAGTTGCGCTCGTATCGCGGTTGCGTTGCAGCGTTGCCAAATGTTTGAGAAAATTTAATTATTTACTACTCACTTTCCTCGACAACGATTGATTTTTGGACATAAGTTATAATGAACTTTTTTGCTTAGAATAATGCAAGGAATCACCTCTTAAAGTTACGAATATTATTTCCCTATCACCATGTATAAAGAACGAAGTCACGCTATCCAAAGCATGTTCGCCATATTCAAAAAGTCAACTCCTACAACAGCTATTCAACATATATTGGTAACCACTGTGTCGATTTTAAATTGTTTAAGCTTATTTTACTCCTTTTTCAAATTCGGCTGTGGCTAAACATTTTTCCAATAATCCAATAATTATTGAGATACACTAGGTTTTTTAATTATTATCATTTTGCAAAGGAATTTAATTAACACTGCAAGTAAAATGATCTGTTTTTGGTAGAGTGAAAACCAATTTCGAATAGTTTAAAGTACTGCATGTACGAATCCTGAAGGCAGTTTTCGCTATTATTACCACAAAATTGAACTTAGCGTTCAAAATATTTCAAAAATGGAAACGCTATAAGGCACTACAGACTGTATAATAATAACCAAAATTTCTGAGTTATTTACCGCGGTTATAATGTAGTACGTTGTTTATTTTATAAAAGTGCGTATATAATTTCTGATTATTTTTATTTTCACTTAATAATCGGTGCTTTTTCGTCTACAACAGTAGACAGTTTAAAAAAGAAAATCTCTTTTATTTTAAACAAGTTTGTCGTCAAAATAAAAGATATGACGCCCAAAATTTTAATGCCTTTGTAGCTATGATAAATTTCAATTCTTTAAACTTTTCCACATGTCAAAGAAAACATTTACTGATTTAGCAGAAATGATACGAAAAAGCGATGAAAAAAGATATTAGCAAAACCGTATACAGGTGGACACTATCGAGCGATTTTATATGGTCATATTTTAATATTCTTGTCGTTACACAGGATACTTTGTTAAGCATAGGAACTAGGTTTAAAGTGTCTCCAACAACAGTAATGAGTATAAAAAATAAGGTGCTATACTTTATGGTAAAACTGAAGCCAGCCTGTATCAAGTTTCCGAAAAATGAACAATATCCGCCAAAGTTCTAACTTGTCACATTTCAAATAATAACCAGACATATAAAACTACTCCGGAGTTGGGTAAATGCTACAATTTTACGGTGATAATGACATATACTAAGTGACATATAAATCCGAACACCCAGTTTAAATGGTTTTATTTTAACAAAAGTTGGTGAATGTATTTATCTTGCTGTAAATAACAAGTGAAAAAATATTCAGCCTTATCAGTTGGACATTCCGGTTTTTATACTGCTTTTTTTTAATTCACTAACGCTCTAAAAATGAATATTTCAGCCTCAGTAAAGAATCAACGTTGGCGGATTTTGGTTCTTGACATCCTTTACGATCGGTTACGATGCCTAGAGTACGGAGACCTGTACGATTTCGTCAACTTAGTGAGTTTGATAGGGGCCGTATAGTGGGACTTCGGGAAGCTGGACTTTCTTTTCGGGCAATTGCAGTTAGAGTGCAAAGAAGTGTAGACACTGTGGTTAGTTGTTGTCAGGCATGGCTTCGAGAAGGCCGTACGCAAAGAGCAAGGGGCACTGGACGCCGCCGTAGAACAACAGACCGTGAAGATCGCCGCCTAAGATTATTGGCCTTAAGGGACCGTTTCTCCACTACCAGGTCCATTGCAAATGAATGGTTTGCAGAACACGGAAGACCTATTGGCATGCGAAGTGTTTACCGACGAATGAGAAGTTTTGGCTTGTTTTCATACCGGCCACACTGGGTCCTCCCTTTAACTCGAGAACACCGACGTAATCGCCTTGAGTGGTGCAGACAACGGTCACTCTGGGATCAGGAATGGAACAGTATTGTCTTTAGTGACGAGTCTCGATTTTGTTTAGGCATGCGCGATGGTCGTGCCAGGGTTAGAAGGCGACGTGATTCCGTGGTCACCTTTAATCTTCATCAGAGGTAACATGAACGCGCAGCGTTATATCCACGAAGTTCTAGAACCCCATCTTTTACCCTATCTTGACACCCTGGCAGATCCAACTTTCCAACAAGATAATGCCCGACCACATGTTGCAAGAGTCACAATAGACTTCTTTCAACATAATGATGTCACATTGTTACCATGGCCATCAAGATCTCCCGACTTATCCCCAATTGAGCACGTGTGGGATATAATGGGTAGAAGATTGCTCAATTTGCAACATCCTCCTCAGACTCAGAAGCACTTCGAGAGGAGTTGGTGATTGCCTGGAATGAGATACCACAGGAGGACATTGACCACCTGATCAGAAGCATGCCTAGGCGCGTTGGAGAATGCGTAGCACATCAGGGTGCGTCCACACATTATTAAAGGTCAAAGGGCTTTAAAGCAGTGCAATCATTTTGAAATTTTTATCATTTACTTATTATGCTTCATTAAGTACTTATACAAAATTTTATTAAAATAAAACCATTTAAACTGGGTGTTCGGATTTATATGTCACTTAGTATATCAGTCTGAAATTTCCTATTATTCAAAAAGAAAACGTAGCCTCACAATAGGAGAGCGCCTACGCCTAGAAGAAGAAAAAAGACTATGAAAATCAAGGAGGCCATAAAGGCATCCTATAATAATTGTAGGAACGACCGACGATACGGCCCTTAGTGGCTGCTCCTAGACTAAAAAGCAACATATTTCTCCAATAACCCATATTACTGCAATATGTATCACGACACTTGAAGTGTCTCTTCTTGTTAATCTTGTGCTCCTGCAAATTGTAGAAATTTAGTAGCTTATGTCTGTTTACACTAAACATCGATCAAAATTTGCTGAATGCTTGCCTGACTTGGAATTGAGTCATGATAAGAGCAACTGTATTGCTTTGTTCCTTTTGATTGTGTACCAAAAGCAGTCCTAAATATTTTATAAAAAAATTACAAGAAAGCATAGCAAGGCACTACGAAGCATTTCCAGAATCACGTATGCCTCTGTCTCGTGTTGATGTGGAGTACTTTGCATTCCACTAAATGATCTGCTGTTGTTTCCGGTAGCGCGCTTTTGTTCTAATTTCTGACATTCTAGTGAGAGTATATTGTTCTATAAAAATAATAAATTATATTATACATTTCCTAGCTGTACGAGAAGATAGGATGCCAGGCGGTAGGAATAGTGGGGCTGTCTATAATCTGTACAAAGTGAAATACAAAAAGCACAAGAAACCTTCCGCCAAACAGCAACCACAGAAAGCATCGGAAAAAGCCATTTTGGCGCACCAGCTCAAGCAACAACAGGTAAGTGAATTATTGAATGATTTACAGGGTGTCAATACCTGTGATAGATATAGATTTGGTTAAATTAGGGAAAAGTTGCGCATACAAAATGCTATTAGATACAGGGTGTACTTTTTTGAACCATATAAGAAGATAAAATTGTTAATGATTTCTCAAAAACGAAGTGTCGGGCACAAAATTCAAAAGCGCCAAGCAAGCCGAGTTAAGCTTACTAGCTACATATGTGTGATTCCCAAGACAGTGTTTCGTCCATGTGGCATTTTACCTTCTCTATGGTAGTACTGTTAGCGTGAGCGTTAGAGCAGGTGCAGTTTGCCTTTTGTAGAAAACTATACATGGTGTTAATGCTGTTAATTTTTTAACCAGAAGCTATTTCCCCCTCTTTCACCCTCTGCCCCCCAGGGTCATCCGCTTAAAAATTTTAAATGGCAAGGGGAATCGAGTAATAGCTTGTTTGAAAGGTCCTTTATTTTGACGATTGATTTTTTAAAATCGGTCGATTCGTTTTCAAGAAAACTAGCAAAATCTTCATTTATCTCAATGTGTTCAGATTGAAAACAAATATCACTTTTTATTTCAATCAGTGTTCAAAATGTGACCCGTTATTGGCCAAACAATGATATAGGCGATGTTCGTGGAGTTTAATAACTGTGTATACAGAGCCTAATGAAATAACAGTGGCAGCAACAATTTTGCATAATGAAGTATTAGGGTTTATCCCAAAATGGCCCAAAACTTGAGCGGTTTCATCCAAGACTCTCCGATGATCACGTTTTTTATTTGCAACGGATCCTGTTTTAGTAACAAGGTCCAAAACATACTTATGCCATGACTGTCACAAAGGTAACTGACAGCAAATTAATTTCATGCTTTCCCTTAACTAACAAAACAGCTATAACAATAAATACAGTTCGCCCAGGATATCTGTGTGGATGACAAGAATGCGGAAAAAAATCGGGATGTTATTTGGTTGTTGTCACCTCTATTCGTTCGAATTGCTGTTTACGTTGGTAATTTCCGTTTTAAATTATAAATGAATTGTAGATTTGGCAAACCCTAATGGGCAGCATTTTGAACACTTATTGAAATAAAAAGTGATATTTTCGTGTGTTTTTGTTTTCTATCTGAACAAATTAAGATAAATAAAGATTTGTCTAATTTTCTCGAAAACGAATCAACTGATTTTAAAAAATCGAACGTCAAAATAAAGGACTTCGGAAGACCTTTAAAACAAGCTATTACTCGATACTCGTTGTCATTTAAAAATTTTAAGGGCATGATCTTGCGGGGCCGAGGGTGAAAGGGGGTGAAGTATTTTTTGGTCAAAAAGTTGTCCCTTGACAAACCTTTTGACGGGTCCCGGCGTTTTTTTTAAACAGTGGTTTTCGAGAAACCCGTGGTGGGAAGTTTTCAAATGAACACCCTGTGTACTTTGTTTTGGTTGTATTTACTATCAACTTGCTTTCTGAAAAGTTTAGTTAAATTATGTTTGCCTTATCTTCGACTTGTTCGGGTGACATTCTGCGTATTGTAATACTCTTACGTCCTCACTAACCAAGCTCCCTTTCATATAATTTATATAGCAGCATAAATAAGGGCGTTATAATTTACATCCCTGAGGAACTCCCAGTTTATTTATTCTGACGCGGTATCACTCTCTTACTTCTACGTATAGATGGACTATAGCATTTTTCTATGGACTGAACAACCACCCCGATAGCATTAAATATTTATCAAATATTTTAAAAAAATGTTTGTTAAATATTTGTAGCGACAGATTTTTTAATATTTAATAAGTATATTTCTTATATATTTATGAAATATTCATTATAGATATTTGTAGTATATACAGGGTGTCCGCAAAGTTGGGGTTTTCCTTTTCAGAAACAACTACCCTTGAAATAACAAAGGTAATGCGTAGTGAAACGAGGGCGACCAAGTAAAAAATAAAGGAAAAAGTACTCACTCTTCAGTTGACGAGAAGGGCTAAGTACGTCTCTGCCCGAAATCATACCGCTCCAACAGAAAATGAAATCAGCCGATGCGCTACCGAGCAGACGCAGAAACCACATTGATTGTCTTACACTTAATGGCACATCTTCTCACAAGGAAGGCAAAATGTTGCGTAAAAAGTCTAGTATTGCATCCCGTCCAATCGATTTGGGAGAATAAATGGTCCAATGAGCATACCGTTCACCATGCCAGCCCAAACATTCACCGAAAATGTTTGTTGAAAATGTGCCCGACGGACAGCCTGCGGATTTTCTACTGATCAAACATGAGTGTTGCGAAAGTTATTCACCCCATTACGCGTGAACGTAGATTCGTCTGTCACCAATATGCACTTCAAAAAGTCCGGATTATTGTCATGTTGATGCAACAACCACTCACAAAACCGCACTCTTGCTGGAAAATCGTCAGGTTGAAGGGCTTGTACAGGTTGGACGTGAAACGGATACAGCCCCTCTTCACGCAGCGTTTGCCACACTTTACTTTTTGATACTTGCACTTCTCTAGCCACGTCTCTAGTGCTTGTTGAGGGATTCTCGTCTACGCGATTATCTCTACACGCGTGACCGTAACCGTCTGTTGAAGGTTGCATACAGACCTGACACATTGACCCCGACCCAGTTCTGTCGTCGGATTGAGCCAGTGACCTTGTACCAGTCGGTGATGTCGCGGGTCACGGCTACAGGACGATATGTTTGATGTTGCAGAGCCCTTTATCTCGGTTCCCTTAAGACATTGGTGTATATGGTACTAAGAAAAATTGCTTATGTTTCCAAGATCTACACGTCGTGTAGAGGAAAACCCCAACATTGCGGACACCCTGTATAATTCATATATTTTTGCGATATTTTTTCCAAATATTTAGAAAATATATGAGGAAAGATTTTTAAATATAAATTTTATATTTTGACGAAATATCTAATATTTTCCGTAAATATGTATGGATTTCCAAGCATTAATATGATGATACATATTTTCCGTGTATACAGGGTGACTTTGAAGTTGAGTCATTAATTTTCAGATAATGATTGTAGAAGGAAGATAAACCAAAATATGTGTGTAAAAATAAAAAAAAACTAAAAAAATATGTTACCTTGTTTTATAAAGTATCCTCCCGACAAGTATTTCAGTGCGGACCTGTATTTGATCGTGCGGTCTTGGAGCACCGGCATGCTCTCCCCTGTGAGGTCTTAAGTCACCTGATTCACGAGCCCTTTGTACTGCATTCAGCATTTTCGTAAACATGTGCCATTTTTGATTTCGTTTGAGCCACGCAACAGACACCACTATTCACTCACGCGTTACCGACTGACACTGACTGTATACAACTGAATAAAATAATTGTAAAAACATCGTTCCAAATTCTTTCGCTTTTTTGTTTCCGATGCGATGAACCGATAAGGCGGATTATATCCGTTGTTGCCAAACACGAGCACATAATATTATTATTGAGACAGGGCGGTACTCAAACTTCTAAAGGGCTATAACTTTGTCACTTTAATTTTTACAGAAAAATGTTAAAGGAAAAAACATTTCTTTCGATCAGATCTACTCACTGTTAAAATAAATGACTCAACTTCGAAGTATAGAAAATTCTTAATTGGTTATTTTAGCAAAATCTGTAGGAATGCTTGTACAAAATTGGGTTTATAAAGAAAATTTATTCTGGATATAATGGTTTAATTTGTTAGAAAAATATTATTAAAAAAACACTCTAAGCCTCTTCTGCATCTTGAAAGTTCACTCCACTGAAAGAAAACAAACTTACTAATTATGAAATATTATTGAATACATAAGCTGCTTTCCAGGGTATTTATGGGAATATAAAATGAAGTGGAACAATATTGGTGCTGAGCATGCTAAGTTACTCCGAGAAAGTCAACTGGGTCACTGAAAAGCAGCTCTATAATACACCTAAAAGGACCCCACATTTACTGGCTACGATATCTCGAGATTTGTTTAATTTTTATGAAAATTTGGTATGTTATTTTTGATGAAAAATTTCCATGGGCACACCTTGATTCTTTGACTAACTTTTAAAGAAAAGGTTTTTGAAAATAGACTTATTGATTTTGTTGAAATGTGACTTTTTTAGTAAGGGAGCTAATTTAGCCATAAATATTTTGTTGGCTGTTAAAATTTTTGAACTTCACTGTTGAACTTGAACTTGCTATTATGCCATTGGTCGCTCGGGGTCACACGCCCAGGCGCCGTAGGCGAAATTATTTAATGAATATTTTTTAAATATTGGATATTTAATATTTTCCACTGATTGAAAGTAAATATTTAATGAATATTATAAAAGAAATATTGTATCTAAAAATTGAAAAATATTGAATAAATATTACAAATATTTATTAAATATTTGTTTAAGAAAACAAGTATTTAAGTAAGATAAAAATATTATTAAATACTGAATAAATATTTAATAATAATAATGATAATAACGTCTTTATTGGATAACCCGGAGGGACATAAACAGCGAAGTAGCCTTGGCTAGGCTACTCTTACACTTAACTGTTTATGTCGGTTACATCTGATGTTCAAAACATAGAAAAAAATATAAGAACAATGAAAAAAAGAACACATATATACCTAAGTATAAAATACAAATAGACACAATCTATATCTGTAGCAGAAATGCTTATTTAATCAATAGCGAGCAACATGCTTTTAGTATGTTTACGAAAACTTTCCAAAGACATCAATTTAATACTGTTGTCCAACTGATTATAAAATAGTGCTGGATTATACGTAAATCCCCGTTGGAATAATGCAGAAGTGTGTGGGGTGGTTCTGATACTATAACGATTCCTAACAGCCCTGTCATGCACTTCGTAATTAAATCTAAACTTAGCTCTTAGATATTCAGGCTTTGATGACAATATTATTTTATGAACCAAAAACTAAGAATTTATGTTTAACCGAACTTCCTAACCTAAGCCAGTTCAATTCCCTATATTTATCACTTACGTGATCGTATTTACGCAACCCATAAATAAACCGAACACAGTTATTTTGGATGATTTGAAGACGATTTTTGGTCAATTGATCCAAACATGGATAATAAACGACATCACAGTAACTGAGCATTGACATCACCAAAGATTCGCACAGTTTTTTTCTCAGCTTAAAGTTAAGCAAGTAGCGATTGGAATAAAGAGCCCTAGAACACAGGTAAGTTTTTTTCATCAAATTAGCTATTTGGCTGCGGAATCTTAATTTTGTCTCAATTTCCACTCCTAGTACCTTAGCTGTTTGAGTATGCTGTAATGTTATGCCATCAATAGTCAGATGGAAAGAATCTTCGATAGTTTTCCTCTTCTGATCAGAACAAAACAATAACACTTGTGTCTTATCTGGATTAATAAAAAGATTATGTTCCATAGAAAACTGATGTACCTGATCAAAATCAAGCTGTAAAATGTCTGATGAATTTTGCGTATCTGAGGCGTCGAAATGGAATATTATTTGAGTATCGTCAGCAAATGTTTGTATTCCTGAATTGTCAACTGCTTTATGCAGGTCACACGTGTAAATCAAAAAGAGCACAGGTCCCAAAATTGAGCCTTGCGGAACTCCTGACGGAATAGTCGTAATATTGGATTGATCGATATTGATTGCAACACATTGCGTGCGACCGGACAAATAGCTACGGAAAAAACTGACAGCAGCATCATCAAATTTAATGAACATTTCGTGTTATCCGGGCAATAAGGTTGTTGATATTTTTCTATTATGAATTATTTTCTTTCTTCAGCAGCAAATGGATCCGAGCGGAGCGGCCGGCATGGGTTCGCTACCGTCCAGCCTGGTGAACGGCACCATCCTCAAGACGGCTCTGACCAACCCCAGCGAGGTGATACGGTTGAGGCAGCGGCTGGATTCCGCCACCGTCACCAGCAGTAGGGACAGAAGCTTCTCCGTGGAGTACTCCATGGCCATGATCAAAACCTTAATCGACTGTGATGAGTTCCAGGTGAGTTGGTATTATGGTATACCTTCGTAAAGTCTGTGGACAACATTCAAGTGGTGATGCCTCGGGCAATTCTGAGAAGAAAAGCTCATTTAAACGTAGATCCGGAAAGGTATTTGTTTATGAAGGGTGTCAAATATTTTTTGAAAATCCGTATTTAAAAAAAATCTTCATAACGCCTCTGTCGATTTTGTAGATATATGTTGAAATTTAAGCAAAATCATTTAAAAAGGCGCTTATAATGTCACATATTTTTGATGACTATCGATATCGTCGAATTGTCCCAGATTTTGGGTTTATTGACGCACTTTTTTATCATTTCGATCTATATTTTCAGCGATATGTGTGTAGCTACAGAATTTCAATAAATTCTAACAAAAGCAACGATTTTTACATAAAAAAGACGGATTTTCAAAAAAGTTTGCCCCTTTGTATCACCTCGCGAAGTTTGGCCAGGTACTTTAGTAGTAGTAGTAGAAAGATTTATTTAGCACATTTGGCTACATAAACAGAATAATTGTAAACAACTTAGAACTAGTAAATTCAAGCCATATGATGTATGATGTAAATGCTGGGCAACCTATAATTGTAGATTTAACAAGTGATTTTTCAATTTTACTTTAAATTTTGTCAAAGTTTTCTGGTCTTTTATCTCCGAGTATAATTTATTATATTCAATCAACCCTTGATGAAATACAGATTTGTAGCATATGTTGTACTTTTTGGTCATTAAATGGAAGTCATCTTTATTTCTGGTATTATATAAATGATGGTCGACATTTGATGATGTTAAATTAGTTAGACTTGATGGAAATATATTATTTTTTACTTTATAAATGAATATCATTACAAGATATTTGATAAAAAATTTTTACATTGAGCCATTTTAATTTGCTAAGCATTTGCCTAATTGGAGTATATTTATCTTTATTTAGTATTATTCTCATGCACTTATTTTGTAAAATTTGCAGTCTTTCAAAAATGGAATTATTTGCTAAATATAGAATAGTCGAACAGTACAAGAAATTTGGAAGAATGATGGTATTATAGATAATTTTTCTGCTATATGAACTCAGACATCCAGAAACTCTCGATAAATATCCCACTTTACTACTAATCTTATTTATAACTTTTCCATAATGAATATCAAAAATCAATCGAGAGTCAACAAAAACCCCCAGGTATTTAAAATTTTCTACAATTTCAATATCTTCACCATTAATATTCAGTTGAACATTTGTACATTGTTTTTTTCCTATTAACAAGGCTTTCGTTTTACTTGCATTTAATTTTAGTCTGTTAGATGCTAACCATTTTGAGACAAGCTTCAAGTCTTCATTTATATAAGAGATACCAGACTGAATATTTTTAGTACCTATATAAATCATAGTGTCATCGGCGAAAATCTGAATTTTGCATTTTTTGACTATGGCAGGTAAATCATTTATGTATAAAATAAAAAGAAGTGGTCCCAGTATACTGCCCTGTGGAACACCCAATGTGTTTTCAATTTTTGATGAAATAGTGTCATTAACTTTTGTAACTTGCATCCTTTTAGACAAATAATTTCTAAACCAATCTAAAACACTTCCTGTTATACCATATGCCTTCAATTTACCTAACAAAATATCTCTATCAATCGTTTCACATGCCCTCTTCAAATCCAACAATACTGCTATGACAACGTCTTCTGAGTCTATGGCTCTTCTCCAATTCTCAGTTACCAACTGGAAAGCTGTTTCTGTGGAATATTTTTTTCGAAAGCCTGGTTGCGCTTCCACTAAAATTTTGTTTTCTTCTATAAACTGCATTAATTGGTTATTATCGATTTGTTTTTATCGTAGAATTTCCTTTTTTCTTCTCTAATTACATATACACATTTATTCCTAAGAGTTTTATATACCTCCCAATCATCATTTGATTTTGTGAATATACATTTATTGTATTGTTTGTCTCTCAAATTTTGAGCTGCCTTAATATTCTTGTTATACCAGGGTGTATTTTTGGTCGAGCAAATGCTTGGCTTGTACAAGGTGGCCAGCTAAGCAAGCGAGCGACTGTATCTGGGAACCTATCCATCATAGCCATTCTTGGGCGACAAATGTTATAATATTTGAAGTTTTGTTAGTTTCATATGTGGCTGCTAGAGAGCTATTTTCACCATTCCGGCAGAAATGGTTAATTTTGTCAAAACAATTAAATATATTGTTATGATTTTTTTTTACGAAAAAGTAGGTAAATGATGTCTTAACAAGCTCGCGAAAAATGCATCTCGATATCTTGTTCCCAACCTAAAATTTAAATAAGGTTTTATACGGAAATACCTTATATTTTTATTTTTTTAAACTAATTTTTCTGGAATTTTATTTAGCGAAATAATATCGTCCTTTTTCAAAATATTACAAAATATCGATAAAAGGTATTCTTATGAATAAAAAAGAATTCCAAAAAAATTTGCTTAAAAAAATACAAATTTAAGGGATTTCCGTATAAAAACACTCTTTGTCCTAAATTTTATGTTAGGAACCGAGATGCGGTTTTCGCGAGCTTGTTTAGACATTCTTTAGCTACTTTTGTATGAAAAAATCATACAAATGCATTTAATTTATAAATTAACGATTTCTGTCGGAATGTCGAAGAAAGCCCTCTAGCGGCCACATGTGAGACTAACAAAAAATATTATAACATTTGTAGCCCAATAATAGCTCTTTTCAACTAGCCCAAGCTTGTTAAAGTCCTTTGAATACACTTTATTTTTAGAGATTCAGGAAAAATTGACAAAAAACAAAGAAAGTTCACATTATCCTCGACTTTTAAGATCAGGTATTTTTTGTTAGGTTAATATAGCGGAATTCACAGACACATCACTTTTTTAGATTCAAGATTGCAGTTGCGCCCCCTAGCGGCCATTTCAGAAACTTGAAAATATTTTCCAGACTTTTCTCTTGGCCCTTTTTGCGAGTAACTGTTTTTGCGGCAAGCCTCTATTCTATGATGTATAGATTCCCAGCATTCTTATTTGGCCACCCTGTACAATTGCAAGGACACAATTTAACTATGTATTGCTTCTGAAATAAGATGTAATGGAGGAAATATGGCTGGAGACTGCTTTTGTGTTTTTCTTTTGGAGACAACAGACATGGAACATACTAGTCACTGTTATCCATTGCACTAAAAGCCAAGCAAATGGTCATGTGATTCTTTATAACAGATCACATTTTCCGAGTCTCTTTATCTTTCTTCATATCTAAGGGTGTGTGTGTTTGTGTGCAGTATTTTATTTGTGGTTCTTGGAATGTCTACGTTTTGCCTATAGTAAGAAGTGAGTTTGGATTACTGCGCATTACATGGGCCTAAAAAGCAACGCTTTTCCACAATAACTATATAAACCTATTGAATAATGTTGAAGTTTGCATAAAAGAAGCCACAATCAACAATTTATAAAAGGAAAAATCCAACACCTTGGTTCTCGCACACGTTCAAGGATTCTAAATTGAAAAGAGACTACTACAATTACAAAAAGTTTATGATTACTGGAAGTGAAAATGATTGGATGATGTGGAAAACGTTGAAAAACATTGTTCCTCCTATTAGAAAAAGCACATTTATCTAAAATGAAATTCGACGATGGAGTAATAACAAATGAAGAAATAATAGCAGATCGAATGAATACCTATTTCATAGAAAGTGTCAACGACATTGTAAAATCAATTATTGACGGGGATCCCAACCAATGTCCCATTAGCTCAGATTATAATGCATCATTCAGTGAGTTTAGAACAATAAACATTAATCGTCTCAAGAAGATTATATCAAAAATTAAATCAAATCAAAATAATAGTGAGATTTTGTCTAAAAGTATGGTTAATGAATGTTTTGATATTATTGGAGCAAGAATATTAATCCTGATAAATTCCTGTTTAAAATATGGCGAATTTCCAACAAAACTGACGTGTTCTACCTTAACACCTGTTTCTAAAGTTAAGAATTTTGAGTTGTAAACCAATATGCGGCCAATAAATGTTCTGCCAGATGTTGAAAAAGATTTGAACAAATTATTTACGAAGAGATCATCGAATTTATTGAGGGAAATAACATTTTAACCAAATTCCAAGCCTGGATTCCGGAAGAAACACGCAACTGAAACGGCAATACAAATGTTTTTAGAGGACTGTAGGTGACGTATAGACAATCGGAAACATACAGTAACAGTGTTTTTTGGACTTCAAAAGGGCGTTTGAGACTATTGACAGAGATAAATTACTTACAAAATTGCATCACTACGGATTTAAAGGATCTGTATTCAAAATCCTACAAAACTATTTAATTGACAGAAGTCAAAAAACCAACATTGGATCTACATTATCAAGATCAAAAAATATTTCTGTTGGTATACCACAAGGTAGTAAACTGGGTCCACTACTATTTATTTATACATTAATGACATTTGTAATATTTTAGATTATTGTAAACTTCAAATATTTGCAGATGGTACAAATCAGATGAAAATATAAATGCGAAATTCTGACTTGGCAAAAATCGTTGGAAAAATGGTTAAATGTAAATAAACTAAAATTGAACACTTCTAAAACAAAATGTATGCTAATAGGGAAAGACCTAAATGAAAATACTATCACAGTTAGGATAAATGGAGAAATAATTGAAAATGTTGAATCAATTAGATATTTAGGTAGGTAAATATATTGATAGAAAACTAAGGTTTGAGGATCACTATTAATACATTATTTCATAAATTGCCAAAAAAAATTACTTTTATAGGGCTTCTCATAGTCTTGGTACCTATTCCAAGAAAATAGTTTATAATACAATTATTCTACCGCGTTTACTATATTGTTCAACTATCTTGTTCACTGCCAATGAAGCTGTATTCTCAAAATTACAAGTCTTGCAAAATAAAGCTATGAGAATAATATTGAATAAAAATAAGTACACCAAAATAAAATCTATTTTACAAGAATTGCAGTGGTTGAATATAAAAAATTTCATATCACATTTGGTTCTTATTTTTATATTCAAAATAAAAAAGCATCTTTTGCCAGAACATTTAGAACACTACATAGAATTGAAAAATGATTACCACAATTATTATACAAGAGGAAATATAGATTTTCATTTACAAAATTGCAATAGTAATATAACTAGCAAATCAATATTTCAGAAAGGATTACTTGAATTTAATAAACTAAATAATGATATACAGTCTTCTTGTAATTTAAAGATATTTAAAAGAAAATTAAGGGAATACTTCATGGACAATGAAAATGTCGGTATGTTTTGTAAATTTTTAGTTTTTTAGAAGAATGTAATTGTAGCAATCATGCTAAATAAATCTTAAACAAACAAACTTATAATGACGCCTTATCTTATCATAGGGTTAAAATAATTATAAAAATGATAAAAGATTATACTACGACAAATATTTTAGCGTTTCGTGAACAATTCACTTTTTAGTTCTAGTTTCAGTGTGTAACCGCTTTTGTGTCAGCATCGCTCTCACCATTTTTATCACAACTATTTCTCCAACTGCCGCAGGACATAGCGACGTTGCAGAACCTGGACGACCTGCTCGACCACAACACCGACCTGAGCGAGAAACTGTGCAACATCGGCGATTCGATCGTGTACAAGCTGGTGCAGTGGACGAAGCGGCTGCCGTTCTACCTAGAACTGCCCGTGGAGGTGCACACGCGCCTGCTGACGCACAAGTGGCACGAGCTGTTGGTACTCACCACCAGCGCCTATCAGGCCATACACAAACACCAACCCCAGCAGCAGAACAGGGAACATCAGTCTACCGTGCTCGAGGCGGACTTTAATCAGGAGGTGAGATGATTTGGGATGGTGACGAGACTAAACCTTACTTTCTCTCTAGATCTTCTCTTTGCATTTTTCTACCTTTTCCTAGACCTTCCTACAGATCCTTCCTCTCTTGTCTTTACCAAATCTCGTTGTTTATAAGACGGTTGCTATCACTGTATACTCAAAGTGAAGCTACGTCTGTTTTTGTGTCTTTCCGACGCAAAATTGTCCCGTTTTCAAGCTGGATACGCAAAATTGTCCCCCTTTTCCCCAAACTGACCCCCCGCTTGAGACCGTCAGTAAAAAGTATTCAGAATGTCTCACAAAATAAAAATATCGTATAAAATGTGCAGAGTTCCATCAGGAAAACAAAAGTTGCTAGCAGTTTCTGAAAAACTGTAGAATTGGCAACATCGCGGATATCATCAATTGATCCGACGTGGTTTCGAACCTAAACCTACCAATTTAACAAAAAATAGATGAGTCATTCGACAAATATTCGATGGGTTCCAAACTTACATTTGAGTAACTTTTCAGAAAAATACTGTGCAATGGGTTTTAAAGATCCAGTTTGACTTTCGGTGAAGTACAAATTTTCATTACCTAGGCATATTGTACGATACGATTTATTTGGAATTAGTTACAATTATCTGCTAAACTGAAACAATATACAGGGTGATCCTTAATGATATGCGAATATTGAATCTAAATGAAAAATTAATGTTAGTTTGCTTTATAAACTGTGGTCCAAAAATGTTTCCTTACAAAAACTCGGGGTGTTAAAGTTTTAGGAAAAAAATGGGAATTAATTAATATTTTCAGAACCGCTTCAGATATTTCATTGATATCTAGTACGTAGTGAAAGTTAATAAAGTTGCATATTTTTCAATGCACACATTACAGTCATCTTGTTTACTTACCTAACGGCCATTGTGAATTTCATACACAGGTATATCATAAACTTCTACACGGTGATATAGAGCTATTAGAATTACTTGCGCAGCAAATTTTATTGTGATTATCGTGCAAAGTAGTTACGCAATTTCTACGGGCTTCGTATTTGATTCATATTTTAATAATGGTCAAAAATATGTTTTGATTTTTAAGATGAAAAACTGAACTTATCTGCGTGAAATCTTCCACAAATCCTATATTTAGACACAATTACACTAATGTTTATCACTTTATATCTGTAATGTCGAACTGAAACATAATTAATTAATTTTCAATAGAGGAATATATTTTTGCCCAAAATGGCGGGTGGTTATGTACAATCATGGCATCGTCCATGTTGTTTTTGGTTTGTTAAAATATTTTGGTGTTGTCTGCAAGTGTTATACGACAATTTGATAAATCCCTATAAAACTTGCGTTAAGTTTGGGACATGCTTTATTGATATAAACAAATATTTTTACCATTAATGAACTTTGGTTGTGTGAACATGAAATTTTGCTTCATATGATAACTATAGTCTCGTAAATGCTTTTTGTTAAGAGATAACTTGTAAGGGTGGTGGTACGGCAACATATGCTAGAACTGGTCTAAAAATAAAAAAGGCAGATCAAATATAGCATCAATTGGAAAACATTTTGAATTTACTACTATACTATTTTTTCAGGTGGAAACGAACTTATGCACCCTCCAGAGTTGTCTGACATCGATGATGGGCCGTGAGATCACCATAGAACAGCTGCGTCAGGACGTCGGACTGATGATTGAGAAGATCACCCACGTCACGCTAATGTTCCGGCAGATCAAACTCACCATGGAAGAATATGTGTGCCTTAAAGTTATCACCATGCTGAACCAAGGTAAGAGTGCGACTGAATACTTCTTTCAATACCTAATATATATCAGCTGGCATCCAGTCAAGCACAATTTGGTGTGAAAAATAGCAGCTGTTCTTTTAAACAACTACAACAATTACATAACATACAGATATTCATAAAAAAAAACAAAATTTGCATCTCTTGTGAATTTTCATTGTCCATGAAATATTCCTTTAATTTTCTTTTAAATATCTTTAAATTATAAGTAGACTTTATGGTACTATTGGAATTTTGTAAATAAAAATCTATATTTCCTCTTGTATAATAATTGTGGTAATAATTATTCAATTCTATGTAGTGTTCTAAATGTTCTGGCAAAAGATGATTTTTTATTTTAAATATAAAAGTAAGAACCAAATATGATATGAAATTTTTTATATTCAACCACTGCAATTCTGGTAACATATATTTTATTTTTGTGTACTTATTTTTCTTCAATATTATTCTCGTAGCTTTATTTTGCAAGACTTGTAATTTTGAGAATATGCTTGCTTAATTGGCAGTGAACAAGATAGTTGAACGATATATACTAAGTGACATATAAATCCGAACACCCAGTTTCAATGGTTTTATTTTAATAAAATTTTGTATAAGTACTTAATGAAGCATAATAAGTAAATGATCAAAATTTCAAAATGATTGCACTGCTTTAAAGCCCTTTGACCTTTAATAATGTGTGCTACGCATTCTCTAACGCGCCTAGGCATGCTTCTGATCAGGTGGTCAATGTCCTCCTGTGGTATCTCATTCCAGGCAACCACCAACTCCTCTCGAAGTGCTTCTAGAGTCTGAGGAGGACGTTGCAAATTGAGCAATCTCCTACCCATCATAGTAAACTAACTCTCCTATTATACGACTCTTATGTAGGTGATTTTTGGTGTATCACCCAACTAACAATTATCACTCCTATTAGAGTTGCAAGAATGATTATACAGTATTCCTTACACAGCAGTGTATACTGTAAGAAGATTGGCAAAACTCTCTTAGAACAGCTATACAAGCGGAATGGGCACACCTAATAGGACACTTCAGTCATTTAAGAGGTTGTATAAGGGCTGCAGGTAGTAACAGTTATAAAACAAAAGTGTAAGCCTCTTGCAGCCGCTATAGGACATTTGCGTCAGTGCAAGATTCAGTTTTTGTCAACTATACAACTATTCTGTTACGTGATTCTACTTTATTGCAACCAAACTATTTCTTATGTATTGTACAGACGAAGTGAAGAATATATATCTAACACATTATAGTCATCTTGTTTACTTACATATCGGCCATTGTGAATTTTATACACAGGTATATGATAAACTGCTACACTGTGATATACGGCTATTGAGTTACTTGCGCAGCAAATTTTATTGTGATTATCGTGCAAAGTAGTTACGCAATTTCTACGGGCTTCGTATTTGATTCATTTTTAATAATGATCAAAAGTATGTCTAGATTTTTAAGATGGAAAACTGTACTTATCTGCGTTAAATCTTCCACAAATCCTATATTTAGACACAATTACACTAATGTTTATCATTTTATATCTGTAATTTCGAACTGAAACATAATTATTTTATATTAAATAGAGGAATAAATGTATGCCCAATATGGCGGGTGATTGTGTATAATCATGGCATCGTCCATGTTATCTTTAGTTTACTAAAATATTTTGGTGTTGCCTGCAGGTGTTATACAACAATTTGACAAATGTCTGAAAAGAAATACCGACAGAGTCGAATGGTTTACCCAGAATTTGTACCAAATCTATATCTTCTGTTCGAACAGTTGATAAAACCTTTTGAACCAAAAAGCATGCGTTGTTTGTCTTAAAACGTTGGTTATGGCATTTTAACAAAAATATGACAGCAGAAAGTTAGGTTATGGTGAAGTTGTATACCAACATATTTAGCATATGTACAGCCTGTAACAGTTGCTAAACAACAGTTGTATAAGTGCTTCCGTTGGGAGCAATTTGTTGGCTAAAGTAGGAAATTGCAAAGCAAAACGACAACGCTCCGGTTTGTTTTATGAACGTTACCTTGGATGCCACAACACAACCATTTTGACTAACGTGCAAATATGCCGTATAAAATAGTTGTATAAACATTTTGCAACAGTTAAAAATTTGCCCTATAAGGTGTTGTATAACTATGCTATAAGAATATTCTAAACACCTCATTTTAGAGCAAATATGTTGCAGAAAGCAAATTTGCATTCCACATAACATTAAGCCAGCATTTTGGTGTTCAGGCAACAACAGTAGAGAGCTTTTATGGCTGAACGGTTTTTTTACTAAAAGCTTATACCACAACTTTGCTAGTTGGGAACTTCTTTTCAGTTCAGCAGGCTGTTAAAATAAATGACTCAACTTTGAAAACATCCTGTATAATGACTATTTTGAAAATGTAATAAATTTATGATGTGAGTTTTGAGACTGGGACCACTTTTTTTTGTTTGATAATCGAAAATCGACTGAATCGCTATCTTTTTTCAGCGAAACCCTCAAGCACCAGCGGGAACAGCGAATTGGAGGCTATTCATGAAAGATACATGACTTGTCTCCGCGTGTACACGCAACACATGTATCCTCAACAAATTACGCGGTTCCAAGACTTGCTGGTTAGACTGCCCGAGGTAAGTTTCATGCATTAATTTTGCAGTAGACGTATGTCTATAATGATGATGATGAATCAATCGCATCTCGGCGAATACTTCTGAATCACAGTGATGGAGTCTTACAGAGAATTGTTACAAAATAAATGTTATAAATTCAAGCAATTAATTGCTTAAAACATCCTATGTTCCAAATTTATCTGTGCGGTGACAACTAGGTTTAGCCGGTTAGAACAAGATGTAGCCACTGGCAGTTGTTTAGTCTCACTCTAGGGATCTAGGCATCGTAACCGATCGTAAAGGATGTCAAGAACCAAAATCCGCCAACGTTGATTCTTTACTGCGGCTGAAATATTCATTTTTAGAGCGTTAGTGAATTAAAAAAAGCAGTATAAAAACCGGAATGTCCAACTGATAAGGCTGAAAATTTTTTCACTTGTTATTTACAGTAAGATAAATACATTCACCAACTTTTATTAAAATAAAACCATTTAAATTGGGTGTTCGGATTTATATGTCACTTAGTATATATAAAAAATGTAAAAAACATTTAAAATATAAAAAAGAAAGGAACAATATAAAGTAAATACTACAATTCATCTAATACAAATTGTCTGTAACTTCTTTTAAAAGCTGACACAGACATAGCCTTAATGTATGTGGGGTCGTGATTGTACAAGTGGTAGATAAAATGAGAAAAACATCTGTTAATCATAGATGTACGATGACGTGGTTGGTAAATCAGCTTCCGATACCGAACATTGATGTTATGAACATCACTTCGAAATGTAATCTTATTATATAAATAAGGCGGAGTTTTATATAGAATAATTTGATGTAACAAAACTGCAGAGTGCAGATTTCTCCTGACTTCCATATTTAGCCATCCTATTACAGGTAACTTATAAGAAATATGTTCAAATTTTTTCACTCCAATAATAAACCTAAGACAAGAGTTTTGGACACGCTGTATACGATCAACATCATACATTGTTATACAAGTCCCATAAACTGAGTCGTCAAACAGCCAATGCCCAATCTTCATCTGGCAGACAAGGCTTTAGAAGAGACACTGTAAAAGCAAGTGTGGAAGTAGAAAGTGGTGGTATTTTGTGTAACTCTAAATGTCATTCAAATTTGAAATAAGTAGGTAACCCATCGTCCCAGTTTTTTTCATATCATTGGGTATGTTAACCATTTTTTTTATTGCTTACTTGGTCTAATGAATGTTTCAATAGTCAGTGTTAATTAAATTGTTATAGGCGCACGAAGTATTTAAAAATTTGCAAATTTCAGTTACCATTACGGAAAAAATGTTTAAATTGTTATATTGTTTATACCCGCAAGAAATATTTGAAATCGTAAAGTTACGACAAAGAAGTATGTTTAAACTGTTATACGGTGACACCCGCATAAAATATCACTGGATAACAAATTTTAGTTTTTTAATTGTATCTTGTGGGAAAAGTGCACTTCTTTGTTAATTTTGGGGCGCTGAATCCAAAAATGACAATGAAATAAAAAAATTAGTTCCGGTTTAGAAAAAAGGATATATTAAAAAAAGTAACAAGATTCATATACTTATAAGAATCACTATATGCGCTGTCTTTTTGCTGTTCTTTTATGGATCGTTTCTGGAGCATCTCTACCAAGAGTCCAACAGTAGTCTGCAAGCATGGAAGGATTCCACTTTCCCTGGTACCTTTTTTCAATTGTTGAAATATCCTGATGAAAACGTTCGCCGTGCTCATCACTTACGGCTCCGCAATTGTCAGGAAAAAAGTCCAGGTGTGAGTGTAGGAAATGTATCTTAAGAGACATATTACAGCCCATCTTTTGATACGATGACAGCATATTTTTGACAAGGGTTTTATAGTTGTCAGCTTTTCTATTTCCCAAGAAATTAGTGACCACCAGACGGAAATCATTCCAAGCAGTTTTTTCAATACCTGTTAAAGTGTTTTCAAACTGTGTATCTTTCAAAATATTTCGAATCTGTGGCCCAACAAAAATACCTTCTTTAACCTTTGCCTCACTTAGTCTTGGAAATTTCTGACGCAGGTATTGAAAAGCTGACCTATCTCTATCTAATGCCTTGACAAAGTTTTTCATTAGGAACTTGATATGCAGTGGTGGTAATAAAACTTTTTTCGAATCTACTAATGGCATATGCTGTACATTTTTTTGACCTGGCTCTAGGAATTGACGAACAGGCCAGTTTTGTCTGGTGTAATGAAGTGCCTTTGCCCGACTGTCCCATTCACACAAAAAACAGCAAAACTTTGTGTAGCCTAGCTGCAGCCCAAGTAAAAGTGCAACAACATTCAAATCGCCACAAATACGCCATTGGTGCTCATCGTATTTCATGCATGTCAATAGGTACTTCATATTGTCATATGATTCTTTCATGTGAACTGCATACCCTACAGGAAGAGAAGGTAAAATATTTCCAATATGCAATAACACTGTCTTTAAACTCAATGTTGAACTGTCTATAAACAATCTCCATTCTTCTGGGTTATAGTTTATATTTAAAGCCGCCAGTAAGCCGTTAATGTTACTGCAGAAAACCAAGTTATTCTCCATATTGAAAAATGGTTCTAAGTCTTTGTGGCGTTTACGAAAAACACATACCGAAGCATCGTCTTCTAACAAGTTCCACTGCTGCAGTCTTGATCCAAGTAACTCTGCCTTACATTTTGGAAGTTCTAAATCTCTTACAAGATCATTTAATTCTGACTGTGTTATTTTGTGCGGTTGGTGGCATGACGTGCTCGGTATAAAATCAGGATCTCTTGACGTTGATGGCATATCTTCTTCCTGACGAATCACTCGATCGCCATGATCTGATTCGTTTTCTGATTCGCAAGTGTAGGATTCTGGGGGTTTTGGAATAGGATTTTCGTCACTGTGAGGCACAGGTCTCATCGCAGATGGTATGTTTGGGTAGTTAATAACCGATTTTTTTTTCTTCGACATACCTGTGGCTTGTCCAACACAAGGTACCATGCAAAAGTAGCAATCATTAATATGATTTGTAGGCTCTCTCCAAACCATTGGGACAGCAAAGCGCATAGACCGTTTTTTGCCATTTAACCAGCTCCTCAGACTTGAAGCACCTGTATTATAGTAGATGTGGGGTGCCCACTGTTTGTCTTGATCACCTAGTTTACTACCGAAATAAAGCTGATATGCCTTTGTTATTAGTGGAGTAATAGACCGTCTCTGAGACGCAAAAGTCACATCACCACACACGTAACAAAACTGATCTGGATTGTTTACACACTTTCGAGACATCTTGCATGAACGCTGTCAGCCAACTGAGGAAAAAATGGCTAATATAAAACAATATAATGTACACGTATGTATAACGTAACACAATCATGCCGATAACATCATCTTTCCTTGCCGAATATAAAAATGTAGCACGTGCATTCTTGTGAATTACAGTATATTAACACTGTCACAGCAGGAACACATATAATTACCGTATCTCTAAAACTTGAACTAATATTGAAAAAATAAGTTTCATTCCGGTTTTAGCACATTAAAAATAGTAATATTTTGTTGATTTTATTTAGGATATTTTTTGGCTGTTGATCAGTGATATTTTAAAATTGTAAAGTTCAATTACAGTTACACAAAAAATTATGTTTAAACTGTTATACGGTTATAACCGATTGAAATATTTTAAAATTGTAAGGTTCAGTTATAGTTACAAATAAAAATTATGCTTTAAATTGTTATACCGACATCAAATATTTAGAAATTCTAAAGTTAAGTTACAGTTACAAAAAAATAAGTTTTAATTGTAAATTTCAGTTACAGCTATGAAAAAAATGTTGTTAGTAGAATAATTTTTATTATTGCGGTTGTGATGATAATGCCAAGGTATGGCCAAGTTATGTTTAAGAAATTTATTGCTGAAACAAATAATATTCTTTAAAAATACTCATTTAAACCTGCTTGTAACATATACATGTAGTTTTAACCACTAAGGATTGGCTAGACCTACACCTAAGTGGGATCAAGTTGATTGAGAATAGTTTTAACCGAATACAACCAGCTAATACTAGGTTTGGTCATGAATGTATAGGTTACACCTAAGACTAACCAACTGTCAGTGGCTACACCTATAGTCAAATACCAGAATTGATGACAGTAGCAGAAGTCATCGTGCGCCACTGCTTTGACGCTGTAATAACAGTGGCGTACGATGAGTTGCGCTACTGTCATTTTGGTGTTTTACTATAGTTCTAACCGATAACCCTAGTTGCCACCGCATTTGGGCTTTTAGCCGTAACATATCGATAGGCCAGATTCTTGGTACAACCCAAATGGGTTTTCTCCAGGTATCCTTTAATGGTAATGTCAAAGTGGAGAGTTTCCTCTCCTAATAGTTTTCATAATTACTTAATTATTAATATTATTTTCTATCTGATTTCTTCCAGATCCAGTCAGCGGCTTCTCTCTTGCTGGAAAGTAAAATGTTCTACGTTCCTTTTCTACTAAACTCGGCTATTCAAAGGTAGTAGCGTGGGGCGGACTGAGTAGGCGAATTTTAAAATGACTATTTATAAAGGGAAACAGATATGTTTACAGAAAGAAAGATAATGAAAAATGTATATATCGAAATGCATATACACTCAAATATTTAAAAGTGGTCGTTATATAGTATATATTATAAAGAAAAAGAATGAAATTTAATTTCATATTTGTTATGTTTAAAAGAATAAATTTCACAGGTACTGAGTAGTATAAATATTAAATTATAATATATATCATCGAGAGAAATATCGTGAACCTGATATTCCAACGTGGATAATAGACTGATTTTATGATGAAATTATAGATCCTGGATCGTCGATGTGGTGTTCGTAAAATTGTAAAGTATTACCCATCATCTCACTCTCCCATTTCACATGATCATCATGAATCACTGGGAAGTATTATTACTCCATATCATCTATGTCCGCATCATTTGACATCGTCAGTACAATTGCCTGGTTTTTCCAAAACTTTTAGTACTGTTTGCATGAAAGCAGAAGGTAATAATACCCTCTCCAACAAGGGCTTTCCATGAACGATAAAGATTTTATCACTTAATTTTGTCAAAGATCTGTTAGGATTTTCAAAATGTTTGTATTAAAGTTTACGCATCGCACGTTTTCACAGTATGGAGAGCTACAGAAAAAGCTTGTGCATACATTTATTAAGCTCAGTTTTTCAAATCGGTCATGCCTTATTGAAGATTTAAGCGAAAAACCTAGGCAAACATAAATCATAAAGCATTATTTTAGAATGTGATATAATCACCCTTTCGTCCACAGCTTGTTCATCATAAAAGTTACGAACATCACTCGAACGATATCTCGAAGAGGCTTGTCCAATACCCCGAAATGGAGTTATATGCAAGATTGATGTCAAGCATGTTTTTAATGAGACTCTGTCTTTCGACTGCTGCTTTTATGTAGAACTGATTATCTGACTGTTGAAACATTTTCGAAGTTGGAGCTAACTTCCTAGATAAAACTGCTGAGTGTAAGTATTTGCCAGTGAATGGGATTGGTATTTGAGGATATTACTAGAAAAGCGTACTGGTTGATTTGAAAAATATGTAGGCATATGCATTCACAGAAGATTTTTCGATGGGATCGATAGCCGCATCCAAATACCTAACTTCAAATGGGCCAAAAGTTGAAATTATACTGTACAAAAGTGTGCCCCCTTATAGCTTTATTAGGTTGAGTTCTGGGCAGTTTACGAAAATTAAGATGGTCTTTTCTCTTATTGTATCTTAAGCTTCTATTTTAGAGAATCACTGTTATTGTTGTTCCGTTGCTTACCCAAATTCAAGTCTCGATATTTTCGGAACGGAATCCAGTTGCAGTATTCGGGAGGTTCTTTTAGAACACGTACAGTGTTCGACCGGTATATTTCTTTCATTTATCCACCTATACAGGGTGAGCGAAGGAAGTCATGTTTTTTTTGTGATCGTGGATCTTTTTCTCCAGTGTCATCCTAACTACCTACACCTCAAACATGCAATTGCTAAGTAACAGTAATCTTGTTTGTAGGCTTGACAGTACAATTTTATTTTCTCAAAAATGCCTCATCTTTTTAAAAAATTAGAGAATTGTATAAGAATATTGAGAGGTCGTTTAGTGAAAATTTTAGACACCACACTTATGCTCAATTATGTTTAGGTCTGGGGACTTTGATGGGAGAGGCAATAATGTAAAATTAGAATTTAAAGATTGGATGATACGTTAAGAGCGCATATCGCAAATACTTCATTTCTTACTTTAAAATGAAAGATGAGGATGTAACTTTTACGAAAATATCATTTTTACGTTTTATTGCTATTTTATAGAACTCCGAAGTTGCATTTTTGGTAGATTACTCTAGAATAGAATACTGTTTTATATGCTGTCTTTTTTTGCTGCAAAAGGATGCTCTAAATTATGAGAATATAACGTACACTGTATAGTACTAAGGAAAATAGATGTGAAACTGTAAAAAATCGTTGTTTTTTGCAAAAAAAGGTTCAAAACCAGACGTGTTATTACACATTAGCTTATTAGGTTAAATAACAGATCAAAATACATACGTAAATGATGGTATTTACTTGGCAAACTGTGTAGAGGTGTTGTTTTGTGATTTTTAAATGTCTTCTTGAAATTCCTTATCCATTTTTCCGCATATTTTCAATGAGATCATAGTTTTTGCGTTTATAAGAAATATTTGAAAGTGAAAACAATTCTCAATGGCCATTTTATAACGCGCATTTCTTGACAGATAAGATAAATGATGTCCGTTGTTGCCAAGTCGTACCTTTTTGGGAGAAATGCGTAATTAGAAGTGAGGTTTGCAAAATAAAAGTCTTAATTTATTGTAAATGGCTTGTTTTATGAAACGCTGTCCCAATATTTACCGAAAACTAGATGAAATTTTGAACAGTATGTGTCTAAACAGTGGAAAATGCACCAGCGGCTCGCGTGACAAAAAATACAAAAGGCACCAGCGGTCATTGCATATAAAAATACCCAAAGTCGACTCCTCGATTCGGACCACATCGCCAGGTCCAGCCAACATATCATCGTCCAACGTTATAGTTAAATAAAAATCAACGATCATTTTATTAAATCATGAAAAAACTTGCAATGGTCTTTGTTATGTTTTCATTATTTAGTGATTTGCAACAGCTACTTTTTCAGTTATTTCTCATATATATAACACTTAATTAGGTACATTTTGTAACATCAGCTTCACTTTAATTAATTTTTCAAGTACATACATACAAAAAGTACATAGATTATAACTATAATATAGGAAAAACAATAACCGAAATACTTTTGTGAAGGGCATAAGGCATTCTTCAAAAAAATTCTTTAGCTAACGCTATCGTAGGGAACAAGGTGGATTTTAGTACTGTAAAACCCGCCGGCCACACCTCAAATCGCATTTTCATGACAATCCTGTGCCGATTGCACATTTTTGCGCTAGTAAGTAAGAATTTGACAAACCAAATTAAGGTATATTACTATCCATGATTTGGCAACATCTCAACTAGATGGAGAGAATATGACAGCGACGGTGGTGTAGTGATGGGAATAATTATCTGAAATAAAAGAAATGACTACTTAACAATGAACTATTTCCATCATTAAAATAATGTAAAATTGCATTATTGCGATGAACAGTATCACAGTAACTTACAGTGTATGTTATGTTCATATAATTTTGAACAATATTTTGTATAAACAAGAAGAAAACATCTTATAAAGCAGTATTAGCACCCAAAATGCAACTTTGAAGTTCTATAAAATAGCAAGCATAGGTTTCCTTAAAGAAAAAATGATTTTTCGTGCAATTTACATCATAATCTTTCATTTTAAAATACGAAATGAAATATTTGCGATATGCGCTAAAGTATAGTTCAGGTTTTTCGGCCTGACCTCGAATTGTTTTTGATTACCTCCTCCATGCAAGTAGGTAGTTTCCCCGGTATCCACACCTTGAACTGTATATTGAGCACCGATCAACATTACAAATTAAAGCTACATCATTCAATAAACGACCTTCTTCCCATGAACTTATACAATTCTCTCGATATTTTTGAAAAAGACGAGGTATTTTTGAGAAAATAAAATCATAATGTCAAGTATACTGTCAATATTATTGTTACTTAGCAATTGCAAATTTGAGGTGTAGGTAGTTAGGATGAAACCTCATTTTTTTCAGGATCGTCCAAAGATCAAAAGAAAAATTTCTAGTGTCAAAAATTTAGAATCTGACATAACCCCAAACTTTGCTAAAAAGCATGAATTTCTTTACTCACCCTGTATAGGTAGATAAATAAGAGGAATATACCGATGGATCCCTGTACATATTCTCAAAGAGTTGGTGAAGAACCTCCCGAATACAGCAACTCGATATCTCTTTCTGTTCCGAAAATATCGGGATTTGAATTTGGGTAAAATTTTCCATGTTGCAAAGCAAGTGTCCACCAGTTTAGATATTTAGACTAATTCGCCCAACCGGCTATTCGGTGACAGCATGTAAACCTTTTCTCCTGGCGAATACTTACCAGCACATTACGTCCTTGACAAAATCCTTAAAGAAGCACTAAAGTTGTGTACGGATATCCGATACATAAGTCTGAGCAAGTTGCCTTGAATCTGCAGTAAAAAATGGCATCATATACTCGAAATATACTCACTATATCGAATTAGGGGTACACACGTTATTATCTATACCACACACATGCCTATACATCACACTTTTATGTTTCTAGTGATAGCATCGTCGACGAATTGCTGATTTCGTTGCGAATGACTGTTTATCGTTTGATTGTCTTCCTTTTACGGAATTATTAACTTACTGTAAGCGGAGATTTAATAGACTGTTTCTCGTCCATGCATCTTTCATCCTTGTTTATCGCGATCATAACCATTTGTGGATTTTGGATGCATTTCGTCTCGGTAAAGCCTTTAAATTAGCTTTAGGTAGATGCGTTAGGATTTTGATCTCAATTTCAATCATTGAAAATAAATCATCCCATAGTTCCGATCACAATGTTCACCTACTTCACTGATAATGCTTAGAAAGTATTAAGTAACAGATGAAAAACACATGCTTATAACGTATGTACTGAAAGTTTTGGTACAAAATATCTGTCGGATTTTTTTAATGAAGGTCCTGGACGGATCAATTTCTATCAGTTTTTCGTAAATTCGCCGTCTTAATTGTTCATCATCTTGGGCTTCTCAGCCTCCATGATAAACCTTCCTAGACAGTAAAGCCCAAAAATTATCTGTTGGGCGAGCCTGCGGCAAATTTGGAGGATTATCGTTTTTGGGATCAAAAGGTATGTTGTGTTGTCAAAGCCAGTTTTGAGCATCTCTTGAGTTATGATATGGTCAAAACATGATATGGTCATTAGCATGATGTTCGTGGACAAACTGAAGCAATTTGGAAAGGCAGTAATCAATATAGGTCTGACTATCAAAAGCTTCACCTCTCACTGTTCCCAAAAAAGGTTGAGATACACCCCTGTTAGAAATTGCGCACCAGACAAGGATTTTATCTGCAAATTTCGGTTTACGTTTGTATCTAACATTTTCTTGGCATTCCTCTACGTTGTTCGTATAAAATCCATCGATTTCCTTCATTTCAGGATTACTCGAAGTGAAATACTTTTCTTCATCTAAAATAATGATTTTTCCATTGGCAAAGTATGCACTAAGCCTCTTTCGATATTTAAGACCATTCCTCCTCAATTCCAACGATATCGTACTCTTAGAAGATCTGTAATGTCGAGCCAGTCTCCTTGTTGACATTCCAACCTTATTTTTTTCTCTTGTCACGAATCTGTCTCTGTCCTCTGTGCAGTAAATGCACGTGGCATTCCACTTTTTGGGAGATTCAGACATTGTATTTCCGCTATTGTTCGATAAATGGTTCTATGTTTTCATTCTGGAATATTCGACTTGCAGATACTTTTTCTTATTTCTAATTGATACGATATCTTAAGCGAAAACTTCAAAATAAATAAATGTCAACTGACAGTACAGTAAGTAAACAAACTTTTGTTTCCAAACGCAGCTTGATATTATTTTGTGTTTGTTAAAATTAAAGCCAATGAATTCTGTGCCAAAACTTTTAGAATATACGTTATGGGGTGAAATTTATGGAATTTTAGATCCCCTATCTCACCATGGAAGAAATATTGCGAATCATCCTGTATATTTTCCAACGCACTATTTTTGTATCTGACTCTTCATATGTCTGCCTGCTTCTCCTGTACTTATTTGTCTGTTAAGACCCGATTTATTACAACTTTTAGAATCTTCGCTAATCTCCATGCACTTTTATACTTTATGCTATTTCTCCCAAATTGTTACTACTGTTACTAACCTTATTGTTAATTGGTAATGATTTTTCTGTTTTATTTAGTGTCTAGAAGAAATTACCAGTCAAGTTTGCCTTGTAGTTAACAAACATCATTACTTTTTCTTTATGGTCATGGTTATTTTTTACACTCGCTGTGCTTATGTAGATTATTGTATTGTGGTACGCCGTCGAAATCCATTATAAAATCTAAAGCCTTATTCTCATGTATATGATCTGATCAGCCCGGTTAATTTTTTTTCTATATTATTTCAAATCATATATATCTTTTAATTCACAAAGTTACAAATGACTGAACTGACATTTCGTGTGATTTTTACACTAACCATAAAAGCATCGCATGTTTTCTAAGATACATAATATACGAATATTAAGAAAAACGAAAATCTACCACCGGAATGACCTCAAAAAATGAGTTGCTATTTTCTGTAGGAAAGTGCTTGCCTATGAGGTGTCGTCGATGGACAATTCTTGCAAGGAAAGGTGTAGCTATGGATAATTATATATATTATTGGCTGAA